CTGAGAGCCTCCTCATAGGTGTCACTATTAAATGGTAGATTTTTTATTATATCAAATGGCTCCCTATCCAAAAACGATCTAAGGTAGTATAATTTTTGCACTTTATCCAACGACATGTCATTATGTATAATAGCTGTAAATAAATTTATGAATGGTGTGTATTCACTGTACTTACCGCTGAATTTTTTGATTTCGATGGTGGGCAACTTTGAGAATTGCTTTATTCCATCATGGGATGGTTCATTAGAGGTCGTTGACCTCACAACGCATTTTGCAAGTCGACTGTTTATTAAACTAAGGGCTTCAAAATATTTGTTTTCATACTCAGTTATGACATCCAAGCTGCTCTGCTCATCGATACATAGAATTTTCTTTGTTAACACCTCGAATTCCGCAAATGCGTCTATTAAACGTGTCTTTTTACATTGTAACAAAGATTCATCACTTGTATTAAATTGCTCGCTGCTCACAAAGTTACTTATTCTGGTGATAGAAGCCTTAACGTACGAACGTTCTGTTATTAGTCGTTTTAACTCTGGTTGATCCATTTTTACTATTAGTCAGGAATTTAACTTTACACACTGAACTTAACTAAATTATAAGAATATTGAATTAACGAAAGAACTAAAGTCTATACATATTATATACTCTGCTGCACGATACCTTCTTCTTTTTGCAACCGACTCGACGCGACGCGACGACCGTAATCAGCTGAATTTTAATCATATAATTTTCTCGTAAACAGGAAAAACTTTTAACGTTTTATTTTTATTTGCTTCGTTTAGCCTTACTGGATTCCAATTTCTTGCGGGCTTCTTATGCGAGGTGGATGTGCATGAAATCTTGCAAACACTCGCACTATGTTGCTCGCCAAGTAAGCGAGGTGGTTGTGTAGGAAAATCTTGCATTCACGTTCACGTTGTTGCTCGCCCTCCGCCCGAGTTTGAATTTTCCTTTGTTACACTGTTGTCTTAGGTGAATTATTATATGCGCTGAGTTCAATTGGAGCGTAGAAGAAAGAAATAAATAAAATCCAAACTAAATAGGTAAAATTTGCTTGTATTGCTTTCTAAGTACAAATTGACAAGAAGGAAAACAAAGGAAGAAAGGAAAAAATATGCATCATAATATTCATAGAGTGAAAACTAATAAACTTAAAACTTATTTGTTTGGTGTTACCAACACTGTGCATCTGCCTTAAACTGTTTTTGGAATTGAAGTCTTGACTCAAGCTTTGTAATACGTTTGTGTTTTGGAAGCCTAGAGTATATTTGCTCTAAGTTTGAAAGTGATGAGACCATTTCATCCTGGGTTTGTCCTAAGACATGCATCTTGGTGACTCTGAGGTGTTTATAGAGTTCAGATGGCTTCTTTAATTTCATCCTAAAACTATTCTGTTCTCTAAATAGAGTTGAGGGATCAGCTGAATGTGCTATTCCATGCCATAACTGACTAGATTTTCTTTTGTTTACCCGTAATCGTCTTCCAGCTCCAGCCCATATTCCAGTGTAAATATTGCTTCGGGTGTCTGAATTCGAGTAATGTCTTTCGTGTACCCGAATACGGGCTAACGAACAAATGTAATAGGGTACTTGACAGTATTAAAAATAAAGTGCCAATTGTTAGCATCTGTGTTTAGAATGCATATTGGCAGAGGTTTTTACTATTTTTACAAAAAAAATATTCATAATTTTACTAAAAACCCACGAAAAAGATAATAGTTTTCTTATCTATTGTCACGTGACCCAAAACGCTTGGAATTGGCGGAGCCTAAAATGACGTCACACGAAAGTAAACTTCCAGTTAAAGTGACATTACATTGCATCGTTTGACGTTTTACTTTTAATAACAGTCGTGTGACGTCACACACTAGTAAGACGCCATATTGTCCAGAAAAACGTTTTCGCGACAACTTGAAAATGGAGTTGTTGATTTGGTTGTTTTTACTGAAATAAACAATAGAATGATGGTTATCCACTTTTTACGGACTTAACGGAGTCCGTCCGTAAGTAACATTAGTCAATAACGTGAGATCGTTTTCTAAAACTTTTCAAATACTTACCCTATTGCAGCATAAGAATGCTTGCTGTCGTATAGAATATTGTTAAGTGCATATCGCTAAGATATAGCATAATGACGCAACATCACGGCGGCGTAACTGGCAGCTCGAGGTTGTTATGTTAGACCTCTCCTCTATATCGCCAATGATGCGGATCAACCTATTCAAAGCATCAAGCAATCTATTCAAGAGATGCCAGAGTTGTAAGTAATGTACGAGGCAAGACTACACAAGTTACCAAGAACTGTCACACAATATATTGTGAATTTTATATCAAGTGTAACAAAGCACAAAGTTAGTTGGAGAAGTTAGACAGTTTTGGGTATAGTGATTAACCTGTGACTCTAAAGAAAATGTTACTAGAAAAACAATTAATGATATTATTATGCTTAATCTGAGAAATATCCACGCGGTTTAGGCATCAGACAGGAATCAAAACTGCACCTTACGCTACCAGCCACTATCCTACAGAATACTGTAATGAACAAACTTACTTGTCACTGCGGAATCCGCGTGTGATTTGAAATTAGAATAAGTACTTAGGTACAAAAATCCCACCGCGGATTCTGCGGTGAAAAGTTAGACAGAATGCACTGACTGGGCGGACACACTAACCACTCGCAAGAATTTTTCTTCAGATGTACGAATCCAGCAGTTTAATTTATAAAATAACAGTATAATGACAGGTTTTGTTTCCTTACAACGTGCAATGTAAATTGGCACTCTTCTAATTACGACCAAGTGAGTATCTAGGTTGGTTCGATTCAGTTTACAGTGGACTATTTTATCTACGTAATTTAAATCTAAAGAAAAGTTATACTAGAAAAAAATTCACGCAGAACAGGCAGCAGATCAGACCTATAACTTTCATGTGTGACTCCGACTGGCACTTGACCAGATTTTTTAACGATACCTACCTGATTCGATTTAAAATAAAGCCCAATCTATTATAAAAAACCTTTCAGTATGTTATAGCCAAGTATTCGGATGTAAATGGTGGTACTGAGCTGACTGAATACTAAGAGTAGGGAAAGTGTAGCGACATGTCAACGATCGCGATCGCCCTGTCTGTCTGTACTCTTCTAGTTCTTCTCCTATTACGGCAGCGGCCGGCCGGTCGGTCGAGTACAGTCGAAAGCTCAACTTATTTATTACTAGCAAGCCATCCCGGCTTTGTATAGGTAAAATTAATTTTAAAAGCGATAAAGTCCATGTAACTGTGGTAGGAATAATGTAGCTGCTTACTGGTGAAAGAATTAAAAAAGCTCGGACTCGTCCACCAAGAGATTTGTAGAAATATGTAGATAAACGCTACATTAACGGCCGCATATTTTTTTGGAGTTAACCTAAAAGTTTGATTTTTTCACAGCTTGAAGGGATCGTGATCTTAGAGGGAACTAATGGTTAAAATTTCGGCGTTCCCGAGATAAAAGGTCTCGACAGACAGACGGACAAGAAAGTGATCCTATAAGTGTAGGTACCGCTTCAGTCGTTTCTGGGATTACTCCTTCCTGATGTGTCCGATGCGTTATTGCGATATCTGTTTTTATTAAATTATGTAGGTATTAGGATTAGGACGGTAGTCAAGTCATACACTGCTGCGATAATAAAGACGCAACAGAAGTAGGACGTTTTATCGCAACAACGCATCCGATATTATCGCCCGTTAATACGCGCCTATGTGGGGAAGTTTAACTCGTCATGGACCAATCACCACAATCAACCAGATCGAATCGAAACACGACTAATATTCTTAAAATATAATTGTCAACGGGACTAAACAGTTTATGGTCACGATTGTACCGTCGAAGTAGTATTGGCTTCATTAGGGTGCCCTATTATTTTCTAATCCGCGTCGCGTCAGTGACCACACTGCTGCTTGTCTAACCGGACACACAGCATAATTATACACAGTATTTTGTTGACCATTGCCCGGGCAGGCCGTCTAATAGTAATAATAAGACATACATATATAAATATCGCATTTAGATCAAGATTTCGTAATCAGGAAGAACCGGTTGAGAAATGGTGAACAAAGTTTTTTAGAATACGATTCAGATTTCGGTAATAATGTAGGAAATTATATAAATGTGTGCTTGTAACGTACATCTTTGGCTGATAAATGTTAATAAAAGGTGGTAGTTCTAGTTAACTAAGTATGAGAATTAAGTAAGTGAATACTTAAGTGGACTATAAAGACTAGGTGCCACCGATCGGATAAAACAAAAGGTACCTAAATTAGAACTTATAACAGCTGTTAAACTGTCGTGATTCCTGGACCTGCGTGAAAGTGTTATATTTCTCTAAGATTATTTATCTTTTTAAAGGAATTTCTTGGTTTTCCAAACTTGTTGATCTTAATTCAACCGATATTTAATAGGCCGGCTAATGGGGCAAGTTAAGCTTAATTATCCGATATTCTGGTTTGCATAGAGCAACAGTTTCCATAGCAACATGTTACTATTCAAATCTGATCTGCATCTGATTTGGGGGAGGAGGGGGGCATATGCTCATATACGCTTTTTAACATACACGCATATAAAATAGAACTGTAACGACGACGATCATACTCGTATATAAACAATGATACAATAAATAAATTGCCAATCGCAAACATGTATAGTTCATGGAAAGCGGTGTACTATAGTAGTACACCGCATTACCTACTCCATCCTGTGGGGCAATTGCCTAACGGGATTGCTATGGCTATCGCTATCGCTTATTATTTAATTTTGTTATTTCTGACCCCCGAAGGTTTTCCAATGCCTTACGCTCATTTTCTTTATTATTGTTATTACCAATGCCAAAGAAAAAGGCGTGAGGCATTTCAAAACCTTCAGCGGTCAGAAATAACAAAATGAAATCGTAAGCGAAAGCTATAGCCATAGCAAACTCGTTAGGCGATTGGCCCCATGGCCACGTCAACCGTGTTGCTCTATGGGTTTAAGTCCTCTCAAATGTCTGATATGTGTGTCGTTTTGAAAGAATAAATAATGTTGTCATTGTTGCCTGTTGGGTGTACAATGGCAGCGATCCTGCCTCCTGCTGCAAAGGTTCTAAGTATCAGTCCCGGTAGGGGCGTTTCTGCGAGTGTTGAACCCAAACATTTGGTGTTCTTAATAAACAAAGTTATGGTTATACCATAATTCAGTTTCCATAGTTCGGGAATCGTGACTAAAAATTATAGTAAGTAGTTGTGAAAGGACCGTATTTTTGATGTGTAACATCTTTCCTCTCGCTTTCCTGCAATTTGTGGGAGTGATTTCGTGAAGTGTGTAACAGGATGTCGCGAAAGCGCGCGCTCTTTGATTTGATTTTAGAACATAATGTTACACATGTTACACATCAGGTTCAGGCGGGGTCAAGACTGAAACATTAAATAGATTTTCGTTTCTGATTGGTAATAATACGTCTTTCAATTTTGACCTGCCCGACTTCCAAATAATGAACCAGATATTATTTTGTACTTTTTAGTTCCATTTTCGATTTTGAAGTCGGTTTTATTTTCTGTATAAACAAGCCCTCACCGAACAAACCTAGACAAGAAATTTTGGACACAAACACCAGATATTGGCCAAATCCTGAGGGAGCCATCACTGAAGAAATCTAATCTAATCTTATTTTTTGTTTGCAATTTATTTAAAACAACAGCTTTTGTCTTAGTAGTGTTCATTTATAATAAAAAAATAAATAATCTGTTTTTAAAATAATGCAAGTTTATTTTGACCTTGTCTAACTCCATTAATCGAAGTAGTTGCCTCCGAAACGATTATCCTGTCTCTTATTGAGACTAACACAGTGAGGAAGCTTTCGTGAAAACTTTTCGGTCAGAGAGTGGCGCAAAGGATGCGCAAGCTAAAAATGACACAAAAATAATACAACTAGTCACACCTTCGTGAAGGGAGCTCGTTGGTGGTGGCAATCTTCGAAGTTAAGTTACTTTCCCAATGGTCGGTCATTAGATGGGTGATGACAGGTTTTGAGAATCTCGATGGCGCAGGTGGCTAGTTGGCAATTTTCGAAATGGTCTGTTATAAGATGGGTGACCCTATTCAATTCCATAGTGGGAACATTAATAGGCTGCTGATGATGATGATGACACCTTCGGGAACTGGGGATGTGGGTGTAGTAGGGTGGAGGGAAGACTCAGGGTCACGGTGGTCAAAGGGTAGGGGTCACGAAGGTCGAAATCACAGCCAGTAAACCTTACTTACACTATTTTTCTCCTGGCCCCCATCCGCCATGTTCAAAAGGAAATTCGTTACTAAAATCTTTCTAATAACCCAGAGACATGAAGCTGCCACGAGTTTTCGACGCTGGCACCGTCCCTCTGAAGCAGACCACCGTGATGTCTCGCCACGACCAGTACTCCGTGGGGGAGACCACTGGTGGGCTAAGCGTCCTCTTCACCGTGCTATGCATTGTCGACCTGTTTGGGGTCTTTCCAGTGGTGACATTACCGAAGAGCATAATATCATGTGGTAAGTAAGTAATATAGGTCACTATTCTGGTACTTAAATATTATAAATATGAAAGTTTGTATGTTTTTTACTTAATCACGCAAAATCGGTTGAACAGATTTGGAATTAATTTGGCACACATACATATATTATCAGAACAGAAAAATGGTCTCATTTTTCTGTTATGTCTGTGGCTACGACTCAAAGCCCTAATATTTGCACGAGCGCTTTTTCAATGCGCGTTAGAAAAACGCTGTAACTGCACTAGTATTTTCAAGTACACGCCCAACATCCAGCCAAAAAACTTGAATTTTAATAGCGCTATTATAATTCAAGACTGCTCCATAAAAAACAATGCTGTCAAAAACCGCTGCCGTGTGTGTGTCCTCACCACCCCATAATACGTATTATAAGGACCTAATACAGGTGGAGTAAAAGCCACGAAGGGGTATTTGGTTGATTTAAACGTGAAAAATAATGTCGCGTAAGTGATGCCCATTCTCAGCTACGCAAAGCTGCGCTGTTACGGGACATTTTCGACGTTTTCGACACACATATTATTTCAAGAAACAGCAATTTTAATTGGCCACCGCGTTTTTTGCCTTTGGAGATATTTAAAGGACCCTTTCCTTTAAATAACTGTCCGTGAATAAGCCAGAGAACGTACTCCAACTAAAAAAAAAAATATTCGCGAAGAAATTCTAGCGATAACTCCTGAAATCTTGAGGAAAAACATGGAAAACGTGTGAAAAAGCGCAACTTTGCGAAGCTGAGAATGGGCACCACTTACGCGACGTTATTTATCACGATTAAATTAACCAAATTCTTCCTTTATAAAATGTTAAGTAAAATATTAATAAAAAAAAATATTTGTTTCTTAGGTTTTCACGCACATCACTCATTAAATAAAACTAGTTTTTACGGGTTAATGCACGAAACTTTATTTATTTATTGACGTTTCGCAGCCTTTTCAGGTCTGCATCGTCAGAATAATGAACGTCAATAAATAAATAAAGTTTCGTGCATTAACCCGTAAAAACTAGTTTTATTTAAAAAAAAAATACTCAAATATTTATAATTTATAGACTATTCAAACACCTTCGTTTCTTTTGCGCCACGTATAGGATTACAACAGAGATGCATAGATTAAGATAACATCATTTATAACCACGTCTCAGTGAGGCAACTGATCATTATCGTAATAATATCAAATCATTTGAATTCTCTTGTCACTAAACTGGAAGGGCTCGGTAGTCCTTAATATCTTCTCTACAAAACATATTGGTGGTTCATGGTCTTAGTTGAATGAATGTAGGTAATAATATTATATTATAACAATGTGCACCATCACAATAGAGGTGTCGTTAATGGTTGAGAAAAAAATTGCTTAAAAGTTAATAGTTGAATAAAAATATCAGATAATTTTAATGGTTGAAAATATCAGTTAATATTTTTATTCAAATACAGTATCTGATTATTTTTCACAAGTTGATTTATTGCCAACACTTTTATTAGTTCGGTCTGTGATTGAAATTATTCATTACGCTAATTTTATCAGCCGATTTTTTTTGAAATCAACTGGTATTGAATATATTTATGGAATATTATGTGTTCATTTTTTTATTAGTTTCATTCAACGATTGATAAATATACTCAACATCACTACATTATAATACACTGGATTGACAGGCAATCTGTTTTTGCCTTGAGATAATACATTTTTGGTATTCATCCATCCAATAACCGGCCATAGCGAAAGTTGCTTAACTTCATCAAGCCAACCACTTGTTCCATCGTGCTCCTCGATAAGGATATACTGCTGGCAAGTTTACAAAAAGCATATCCGAATAGCCTCAGATTACTGAACTAAAGGCAGATTACTCGCTTAGCAAGGTACACAGATTGCGTGCCACCAGAACAAATATCAAGTCAAAAGCTTATATCAACACGCGTCAGTGCACTACAACGCATCGTGTTGTGAATATGTCCCGTGAATATTAAGTTTTTATCAAAACTGTGCCGCCTTGTTCCAACATTGTAAAAACTGTTCACAAAGACAAAAAAGTCTACTTTTGACTTCGTATTTGCTTTGGTGGCCGCACTTGCGTGTTCCGTGCGTTCCATCTGCCTTTTGTTCTGTAATTTTTGCGAATAGCCATATATGAAGAGCTATATATATAACGTCAGGGGAGCATAATATTACAGACATCACAGTTTCTATGTACAGGCATATATGGAGTACCTCTCGTCGTATTCGTGTTCGGTCTGCAGCTATACACTGCCGTGTTGCTCGGCCGCAGCTGGCTACTGGCCCAGGAACTCACGCCCTGCATCAGAGAAAAGATCAGGTAAGTGTTATATTTTTCTTTGCCTACAATGCCAAATTTTACCCCACCACAACAAATAAAACCCGGTCAAGTGAGTGTCGTGCAGTGTAGGGTTCCGTAATTGCTCGTCATCACCACAATATATTTTGGAAAGAGTACCTATATATTTTAAACAATTATCAGGTCAGAAATTTTCTAATACAAAAGTTGAACGACAATTTCTCTTAAACTAACAAATCTATTTTAACCGTTATGATTTTCCTTAAGTTCATGAAAAGCACAATGATCATGAATTTTAACAGGTTTTCAAGCCAATAGTTTAACTTTTAGAGGGGGAGGGGGGGATGCCCTAGTCGAACAAAAATTAGCACTTTAAAGTTCAATATTTCGCAAACGGATTCCTAAATCGAAAAAAAGTCTTAGGAACCTCTGAATATTTTTGAAGCACCTATTCAAAACCCGATGGCGTAGACGTCGAAAAAATAAAATCATCTCCAGGTTAGGTACATGATGTAGGGGAGCTACCCTAAAAAAATGTTATTCTACCATTTTGTCGGCATGATTGATTTACATATCTCCACAAGATTACAGCTCTCTAGTGCTAACAGTCTCCGAGCAAAATCGGGGACGGACAGACAGACGGACATGACGAAACTGTAAGGGTTCCTTGTCAGGACTACGGAAGCCTAAAAATAAATAATTTTCAACATCGTATGTGGCCTGGGGTGATAGATTTAAAATAGGGGGTCCCCACTCCTTCGTTGCCCCAGGGCCTGCACACCTCAAAATATTAAAGATGTTATGTTAACTTACCCATAGATATCCATACGCCGCAGTCGCCGAGCTGGCGTTCGGACAGCCGACAAGGAAGTTGGTCACATTCCTGATCGACGCCACAGTGTTCGGTGCTGGCATACCAAACTTCATACTCGGTGAGTGAGAAAATGTAACGAATTTTCTAAAAAAATTATCCCATAATTCACTTGACAACCTTATTTCCGTTACCTACTTTACTTTGCCAAAGTCCTTTCCTATCTCTTTCGGTGTCATCCCCTCTAAAATATAAAGGTTCGTCACAAATTATTCGAGTCATGAGCTGAGAGAGGAATGTCTGTTTTACAGGACTCGCATAAAAATGGAATTTTGATGTTACCCAAGCCACCAGCAAATAAATCGGTTAAAATAGATGCCAAGAATTCCCTTAATGCAGCAGAAACCTTTCACCTTCAAATCAAACCCGTATTTTTACCCGTCCACGTGATAAAAAATAAGGCTGTTTGTCCACCGGCTCCGTCAACGAGAACGAAATTATTTCTCTATGAAATCAAGATGACGTGACGGGCTCGCTGTGGACAAGCGGGTTGGTTAATATATATGTTGCTACTTCGGCGCCGTCATCTCGTTCTCCTTGACGTCCCGGTGACAGCCACGGTGGCCAAATAAACGAACTAAGTCGCAGGAACTATCTACTTATAAAGTAAAGCGCATTAACTGTATAATATTACAAATCGCATTTGACGCGATAGACTTAACGCGTCTCCCTTCAGAATTACCTTTATCGTTAGGAGATTAAAATTAAATATATGGTAGTAGGTCTACTTTGGTACGTCGTATGGTTTACAAGTACAGATTTTACAGATAGCGGATGTTTTTTTCATCGTTATCTTAATTTCCTTACTTTCAAAGGCTCACCACTCTGTTCTTGCCACTTTTAAGCAACTTTCGCAGTGGTCGGTCATTGGATGGGTGACCAAAAATTACTATCTCGAGCTCCTCCGTGCTTCGGAAGGCACGTTAAGCCGTTGGTCCCGGCTGCATCTGCAGTCGTTAGCACCCACCAATCCGCACTGGGCCCGTCTGGTGGGTCATGGCCCAATCTCCCTATTCCATTCATAGGGAAGGCCTGTGCCCCAGCAGTGGGGACATTAATAGGCTGATGATGATGATGATGATGATATATTAACACTAACAGAGAGAAAACAGGCCTTGTTGAGTTCCTTGCCGGTTCTTCTTAGTACAGTACAAGGTCTCCCGCCGTAGATTTGCGAACCCATAGCGTAGCTTCCTGACCTTTACAAGTGCTTGTAACAGCCTAAACTGAATAAATGATAATGATTTTCTTTTTTTTTTAATTCTAATTTTCTCCAGCGTCACAGAGCCTCCAGCTGTTTTGGTGGAAGATATCAGGAGGTGAGATCGGGATCACGTACTGCGTGTGGATGTTGGTGATAGCTTTGCTGTTGTGCCCCGTGCTGTGGCTGGGCTCGCCCAAAGACATGAAGTGAGTTTATTTTTTGTTCAGACATTAATTCTTTATGTAGGTAAATAGGTTGGCAATAAAGCATTTAACCCGCCTGATCGTAAGCTGCCGCCAGTCTATATACGCTTGCGTTACTGAAACGTCACTCACGCCGTTGCTATCCTACCCCATCGAGCCCTGCAACCTCCAAAAAACGTCTGGCTACCGCGAAATTATATTCTTATAATTTGTTAAAAATAAAGTACTTTTTACGCTTTCGCTAGTACCTAGTACCATCTGTTGCGTGTCAAAGTCCCGATGACCGTGATGCGACCTACCACTACCTGTGTTAGAAATATACGCTGAAGAAAAACTAACAGCTTTTAAAAATAACGAATAGATCTGGCGTTCGTGCGATATTTCCTCACGTTTCCATTCGAAATAAATAAATATTTCCAACACTCACACCAATTAACCTAGCCCCAAAGTAAGCACTGTAAGGCTTGTGTAACGGGATACTAGAGTAACGGAAAGAATACATATATAAGTATATTTATATAGAAATACATATTAAACATCCATGACTGGAGTACAAATGCTCGTATTCATCACACAAACATCTGCCCCCACTAGGATTCAAACCCGGGACCTCTCGAGTCGGCGACACCATGAAAACCGGCGTAAAAAGCAATCGGCCAAGGAGTTCGTAAAAAAAATTCAGGAATTTAATACTATGTTCACATCATATATATTGCAGGCCGCTAGCTCTCCTGTCCGTGGTGATCGTAAGCACGGTAGCCATGTCCACATGGAGTTGCATCATCACGGACGACGTGTCACCGCCGAGCGCGGGCGGCGTGCTGGCCATACAACCCACGCTGCAGGACTTTCTTGTAGCCTACGGAATCATAGCTTTCCAGGTAAACCACCGTCTCTCCACTTGTTTATGTATATAGCCAGAGATCTACAAACTAAGTGAAGAAGCTGCATGACAGCGCCATCACTTCGCATTGTAGGTGAATACTAGAAAAGGCATTCATTTGACCCACAATGTCAAATGAATACCTTTTCTATAGTATTAAACATTTTGAAAGAAGAAATAGCAATTACCTTTAGTTATATTTTTATTAACTGCTAAATTAAATAAATTAAATTATTATTTAAACCACTAATGTGGTTTTAATATCTTTTTAAGATTTGTTTTGAATTAATTTTTATTTAATGCAATATAGGTAGTTAATGTTTTTTTAAGTGACATATTTACCTCTACTGTAATATGGAATAGAAAAAATTATTTACCAAATAATTATTAAAAAATGTTGTGGTAAATATTGTAGCAATGTCGACCACAAAACATTATAATCACATTATAATTTTAATATTGTAAATATTTTAAGTCAACCTGCTAATAATACATTTAAAATAATAAAAAAGTAAACATAATAAAAATTGGCTGGCTGGTTGGAACAGTATGTGAGCGAGGCTTACTTGAGTGCCAGACTGCAATTTAATACATGGGTGCGGTATGTAAGCCTAGTGGGCCGTTGTATTGGCGTATGATTGAAGCTAGTAAGATTTCTAAGAGTAAACTTAAATGGTGCCAGCGTACCAGCAACATCATTCCAGAACCGATTTCAAAAGTTTTTGGAAATTAACAAATAGAGTGAATACATTCCAGTAAGCGTTTACAGTGTCTCCAATGCCAAAGACATTGACAATTGATTTAAAAGTCATTTCACAGTGAAGTCGCCCTTGGGACCATCATGTCGGGAGCTCATTGACGAGGCTCAAGGGGCAGAGTTAACAACAATTGTTTTTGGTAAAAACTGGCTATTAATAAAATTAAGGTTTTATTAATAGCCAATAGCCTGAGACAAGCTGGTTTCCACGAGTTCTAGCCTTGCTGTTCAATCTGTGTTTGTGCCATTCGTACCTGCCTCCAGATTTGATGAGGACGCTGGTGGTACCCATAGTCAAAAGCAGGAAAGGGGATCGACAAATCTAACTATAGACCTATCTCCTTGGCTACAATTATAGCTAAGGTTTTTGATAGTGTGCTTAGTAATCATGTTCAATTACGGGACGCCCAGTTTGGATTTCGCTCTGGACTATCCACTGAGACCGCAATTCTTAGCTTAAAGCACATTGTAAACTAAAAATTATACGGACAGGCAGACCCTAGTATATGCCTACTTTGTAGATCTCTCGAAGGCCTTCGATCTTGTCTCGTATGATATTTTATGGCGAAAGCTGAAAGAGACAGGTTTACCGCCATAGCTGGTATTTTTTTAAGTATTGGTATCTGAGGCAGGAGAACAGTGTGAGTCGGGCGCGTATTGATTGAAGAGTGGGGAGAGGCAGGGTTGATTGAGCTCACCTCTGCTTTTTAGTCGTACGTGGACGCACTGATCGAGGGACTCAGCAGCATGCATGTGGGTTGTTTCGTAGATGGCTTGTGTGCGAACAACTTAAGTTATGCCGACGTTATTGTGCTCCTGGCTGCCTCTGTTGGTGCATTCAGAAAACTACTCGCGCTGTGTGAATCATATTATGCGTCTTCGCATGGGTTATTATATAATGTTAAAAAGACTCAGTACCTGCAATGTTTTTAAGGCTGGTGCCAAGTGTCCAGATGTCATAGTGCCAGTGACATTTAATGGCATTCCTCTTAGGAGAGTGTACCAAGTTTAGATTAGGACATTTGGTGACCGATAACCTTAGAAACGATGCAGATATGGAAAGGGACCGCTAATATATTGTCCCGTAGATTCGCGCGATGTACTAAAGAAGATAAAATAACACTTTTCAAACCGTATTGCACATCTTCCTATTCGGCGAGTGTGTGGTTCAATTATACCCAGTTGCCTTTCAATGTTTTGCACATCCAATATAACAATGCGTTCAGGGTCCTGTTGCGACTTTTGCCTTTTTGTAGCGCTTCAGCTATGTTTGCCGAGGCGCGTACAGATGGTTTTAATGCGACTTGGCGTAAAAAGACTACATCGCTGTTGGGCAGAATACGCGAGAGTGGCAACAGTATCTTTGGATTTAGTATCTCCAATATTTGAATATGTCTCTAATCGCTTGCAGTTCGACATCCACCCTTTACTGCTGACCATTCAAGTAGACATGAAGGACAGCAGACGCATCAATACCGCAGTCATAGGAGGGTTCGCGATAACAAGCTTCTTGTTTGCAGTCACCACTATATTGGCTGCCAACAGATACGGAGAGGCAGTCGACAACAATATACTGCAGGGTAACGAATACCGTAAACTATTCATCTTATGGTCCTTAATCAAAGTTTTTTCATGTTAAAACAAGTGTATAGCCCGCATTATGGTAAGCGGCCAATATAGCTTATAGTCGCTTACGATACCAAAAATATCATTCGCACCCTTGTCTACCCTGACCCAATCTCTTACCCCGTGGAGCCCTGGAACCTTACTCACCGACACAAGACAACATTCGAGGTTCCTTGCCCAGACGGGCGCTCCAATTCGAGCGGGAAATCCGCTATGACCTACCTCTCTCAAAAGAGCTTCTAAATAGGAACTTGCAAAGTTATCGAAAGTATCATGGAGACTCGTCCATCAAGGTCTTGCTGAATAGCAAACCTAGTGGTCAGTAGCAACTAGCAATGCATTCTTTTAGATGGGCTAGTAAAAGACGCTGACTCGAATCCAGGCTAATATAATATAGGTGGAGTTTTTTGAATTTTATTATGAAAACTGCCTGTTGATCCTACTACTATGGCAGAGATGTTCCACATGGATGAAATAGGACGTGGGTCCAGTGCGGATTGGTGGGTGCCAACGACTGTAGATGCAGCCGGGACCAACGGCTTTACTTGCCTTCCAAAGCACCGAGAAGCTCGAGATAAATTCCTGTTTCGTCATTAATTTCTATTGCCTATATAATACCGATGGTATTTCTACAAACGAATCAGACACACAGGGTATTTGCCCCGAAAAACCGAAACACCTTTTCCCATTTCGTAATAGGTGTTTTTCGGCTATAAGTACCATAATGTCACAGACATGCTTTTTTGTTTATAATTTGGCATTTATGGTTTTGTGCAGGCATTCCTCCATCGGTGACGTTGTTCGTAGTAGCGCTACTGGTGACTCTACAGCTATGTTTATCCAGTGCAGTCGGGAACAATGCACTCTTCCAACACATAGAAGACTTGCTGAAGATACCTAGAGGTGACTTGAATACTTACTAAACTACGTAGGTACATTTTGTTCATCATCAGAATGTTAATGACTCCACTGCTCGGGCATCGGTCTTTCCTGTGGATGAAAAAGGTAGAATGGGGCGTTGCTAACCCAACCTTACTCAATAGGCACGCGAGCTCAATGCAGATTGGTACGTGCTAACGACAGCAGATGAAACAGGCACCAACGGCTTAACGTACTTCTCGAAGAACGGAGGTGCTCCAGATACCAAATTTTTGGTCACCCATCCTATGACCCTTTGGGCCCCTTTTCTCTCATTGCGAAAGTAGCTGAACTTCCATGATCGGAGACCGAACGCCGCGAATGAGCTCATCACTAAGGCCCATTTGCGTCAATGTTGGGGCTTAACTGCTCGTAAAACTTCAGCTAACAGTTTATATAACTGTAACCTGTGATAAGAACAGAGATTTAGAGAAACTGTCGTATCAAAATACAAGCCAACACTACAACGGCTCAAAATATGTGAGTCGCCCTCACATTTGGCAGACGTTTCATAATTCCAGAATTTCTCATATTTGTTTTGTTGTACATACTTATTTTCCACGAAAGTTAATAAATACTAGCAAACCAGTGAACCAAATTTTCACCACCAAAAAAATAAATAAATAAAAAAAATAAAAAAATGTATTTAATTAATTGAGAACTTCGGAGATTTTGTGTGGTTTCGTTTGAAATAGAAATCACGTGATTTCTCGAAAACCGGAAGTGCTATGTTACTCACATCCGGTTTGTAGTCTTATCAGACTATTCTTAACTTATAACTTAAACATTCTCTATATCTATCTCTTACGGTTTGGCCGCTGAAACAGCACCACGGACGGAAGGACGGACGGACTTGTCTAATAGAGAGATAACTAATTCTTCATTTCTCTTTGCAGAGTTCTGCATGCGGCGTTGCCTCCTCCGGTCTGGAATCGTCGCTTTGGCCGTGTTTCTTGCAGAATCCGTTCCACGTTTCGATCTAGTCATGGGTTTAGTAGGATCCACATTGACAGGCCCGCTAATGTTCATCTTCCCCCCACTTTTCTTCCTAAAACTATGCTACATGAAGTCGCAAATTAATTACGGATCACAGGCTAATAATAACCTCTCAAATGGCGCCTTATCGACTACGCAAAATGGCGCCCGACGAAATGGCGGTAACGATTTCCCGCTCATTTTTGAGAACGCACTTATTTCAGAAACCAAGTACAAAACGTTTAGTTACTCTAAAATAAAAGAAGATGTGGACGAATATAACATTCAATGGTATGATGTTCTATTGGCTGTTTTGGTTATGTTGATGGGTATAAGTGCGACTTTAGTTGCGACGTATTCTAGTTGGTCTGATACTATCTCTTATGCTACTTTCTCGCCTCCGTGTTTGGTGAACGCTACTATTGCAGCACGAAGCTTTTTACAGACTGTGCCGTCGTGATATTAAAACATAGACTTTGAATATTAGTGGATTAAAATAATGTATAGTAGTCTCTTGTTTTCATTATGTATGGAGACGGTACAAAAGTGGTGGTCGGTCGGTGGACGCAACATATCGTTTAAAAGCTTGTTTTTATTATAACATGAACAGATACTTTTATTTGTCAATTTAATGTAATGTCAATTTAACCGGAAGTTTACTTGCGTGTGACGTCATTTTAGGCTCCGCCAATCCCAAGCGTTTTGGGTCACGTGACAATAAATAAGAAAACTATTATCTTTTTCGTGGGTTTTTAGTAAAATTATAATATTTTTTTTGTAAAAAAATCTCCTGCCAATATTCATCTCAAACACAGATGCTAACAATTGGCACTTTATTTTTAATACTGTCAAATACCCTATTGTGTTTAAAAATTGAACAATTTTGTAATGATGCTGGCCGTCCTGTGATATGTACTGTCATATTTTTAGTGTGTGGCAGCTTATAAAACGTCAATTCAATCACTATGGCAAATGTCAATCAGTCTAGTCATGCATAATATTCGTGAAATTGTGGTGAACCTATTATACCAATTTATGATTGATTCTTCTTGTAATAAAACACCTAATAAGGTAATGAAAGGTGAACAGAATAATTGTCCCTGCTTTAGTTATTTATTGGATTTTAGAATATATTGAAACTTGCCATTTGTCAATCAATAATTATATAATTTTATACTATATTTTTTTTTTCTAAACAGGTATAATGAATTCTAGTTTATTGTCAAACGATTCACAATTATGTGCACTACATCTCATAACAATTTGGAGTCTGCCGAAGACTCATTACCACCCTCCATAGAAATTAGAACTGTCTCCTTTAATTATTTTGACGACCTCCGTGGTCGAGTGGTTTGTACGCCGGGTTTCATGGTGTCGCCTACTCGAGAGGTCCCGACTCCCGGTGGGGGCAGATGTTTGTGTGATGAATATGAGCATTTGTACTCCAGTAATGGATGTTAAATATGTATTTCTAAATAAATACACTTTATACATATACAGAATATGTATTCTATCTGTTACCATAGTATCCCATAACACAAGCCTTGCAGTGCTTACTTTGGGGCTAGGCTAATTGGTGTGAATGTTGGAAATATTTATTTATTTATTTTAGGTTAAGAGAATCATTCTATAATCGACACTAATGTAACAAATAAATAATAAATATTTTCAACACACACCAATTAGCCTAGCCCCAAAGTAAGCACAGTAGGCTTGTGTTATGGGATACTAGGGTAACGGATAAAATACATAAATCAATAGATAAGTACAGATGCTCGTATTTATCACACAAACATTTGCCTCCACCGGGTTTTGAACCCGGGACCTCTCCAGTAGGCGACACCTTGAAACTCTGCGTACATACCACTCGGCCACAGAGGTCATCAAATTTAATGAAATCTAAATAAAATTATTACTGTCTGCTTGTATGTAATAATGTACAACAGTATGTATTTACTATTTTTCCTTCGTTGTCCGGGCGAATGTGCTACCAATTAAAGGAGATTGCTCAAATTGGCCCAAATGCACAAAAAATATTGACATACACAGGGCCGTGCCTGGGTATATGGCCGCCTGCGTGCCAGTCTGTATGGCCGCCCCCAGGATAACATTAAAAAAAACTACTTTAATTTTTAATGTTTATTATTATACACAGGGCATCAAAACCGGGAAAAAAAATCAGTTTTTGGTTAACCGAAATCGAGAACGAAAAAAAATATTGGTTTTGTTCCCAAAACCGGTTTCTGAAAAGAAAAACCGGCTAAAAACCGGTTTTATGAGATTTATATGTTTGGATGAAATTTAAGAAAAAAAAATGCACAAAATAAACATTTTTTTATTTAAAATTTAAACAAAAATAATAACATGAAAAAAATTATGGTATTGGTTTTATAATCACAGACAAAATTATCAAACATAAAGAACAAGGAATAACCCTTAAATCTATACTAACATATTAGGATAACAAAGCTCAGTGGCCAATGGCAGATCTGGGCTGACTTGCAACTTGGGAGGTATACAAAATAGAATTAATTTACTTACTTTAATAATAACATGAAAAAAAGTAATTATGGTATTGGTATTATAATCACAGACAAAATTATCAAACATAAAGAACATAGGAATACGATAATTTAAAATCCTAGGTGTCGCTCAGTGACAATTTAAAATTATTTGATTTTAAAAAATCAAATCTTACGTATTATTTATTGATATTGAAAATAGTAAAGGTTTTTGGTTAATTAACCGGTTTCATAAAATTATTTCGGTTAGGTTACCGGTTAATTAGGGAAATCTTTCAATCTTTCAATTATCGCGATTGAAAGTGAAATTGCTGAATCTTCACGAAGCAATTATTAAATAAAGTACATATTAAAAGTTAATCCTACGGGATTTTTTACTGACAAAATTGTCAATTGCTTCGTGAATATTTAAAGATTCAGCAATTTCACTTTCAATCGCGATAATTGAAAGATTGCTCATACGTTCTTGCGTCATGGAAGTACGTAGGTAATTTTTTATGATTTTCAATTTAGAAAAACTACGTTCTCCAGACGCAACTGATACAGGCATGGTCAATAATAGTTTTAAGCTTGTAGATACATTTGGAAATGAATTTTGTAAATTGTGTTTGTACAAATACTTTAGGAGTTCTTCGGGTTGTTTCCTATCTTTTATAATTATTTTCAATGAAATTAACTCTTCGTATAATTCTGCTCCGTTTATGTCGCACGATTCGCCATCCTTGAATTTATTATGAAAGTCGAAGCAACTTTTTTTTATGTCGTCCTCTCCTATTTCGTTGTAACTAATAAAAACACTATAAATAAGAGAAATAAAACACTTAACTTACGTTTTTTTGTTTAAAATCCGTTGAAAACCACACAAAAACTTTCACAACACGGCACTCACACAACTGCACACAACTGCACACAACACAACTGACAGCAAACTGGCGCGAAATATTTTACCGTGCGTTTATACTTGTGATTGTGGTCTCTTTATTCACTGTGTGTCCTGTGATTGGTTATTCGTCAGTAGCTCTTTAACTTATCTGTGTTATACCGAAAACCGTATACAAAAATACATCTTACGACCGAAGTTATAAGGAAAAATATCCGTCACCGACCCCCAGAATCATTTGACACTCGCTGGGAGCATCATATGATGCTAGCGGTCGTTGGCGGTATGTAAGCGCGCGCATCATATGATGCTTACGGCGTTTAGAAGGTTGAAAACAAACCGATTGTATTTTTGCCCAGCAAACAACTTGTAATGATTTGGCCGCCTCTTAATTTCGGCCGCCTGCGTGCGGTGCACGCAATGAACGCCCGTCAGGCACGGCCCTGGACATACACGGTAATTCTTGGCGTAATTTATAATTTAATTTCCGGTCATTAGATTTCAACGTACACCTTTGTATAATATATTTACTTTAAAAAGGACTTTTAATTTTACCGGTTTGGAAAACATACGAATCATTTTTAATGGCTATGGGTGTATAACATTCAGCCAAAGACTGATCGAAGTTGTTTATATAACATAAAAACAAATCTATTTTGTAATGATCGATAAAATAAATCATTTTTTTTATTACATTGTGGTATTAATATCCACAACTATATTATCATTTTCACTAGATGCAAATGTGCTCAGTCAATTATTATAGATGGTAGGCGACATCATAAAGTCTATTGCCATGCATTTTTCGCCAGACACCTCCATAAACACATTATAATCTGTATATATGTTAGACTTTAAGGTATCTATCTATGGGCCTACGTTTCCTGACTATAAATTAATAAATAAATAAAATTATAAGGTGTGATACACTAAAAATCTAAAATATGGTTATCTTAAAAACATAACAAAAATAATGAAGCTACTGAATGTATTGCTATAGAACCTAAATCTCTTAGCTTTCTTTGGTTAACGAGAGTTTAAAAATTCTCTCTAATCTGTGGCTCATTCACAATCATCACACAGTTTCTGTCACAGAGTACCTTATTATAACCGGAAATGACACCTGATTTTAAAAGTTACTCTTTTGCATTAACTTTAGAAACAGGCAACTATCTGTTAATCTACATGCTCTATATACCTGAATCTAATCCATAATTTCGGTACTTGGCTTGATTTCCCTAGTTTACTATATAACTTATTTGTTTTTTATTATTATAATATGTTCAGTGTATATGGTTTATAGAAGTTCTCAGGGGTATCCGTCAATAATATTCGTTTCTATAGTAATTTATATATAACTAGCTGACCCAGCGAACTTCGTACCGCCATAAAAAAATTTAATTAAAAAAACTAACTAACACAAAATTGTGAATCTAAACCATTCTCAGATCCCCTTGAACACACACAAAAAATTTCATCAAAATCGGTCCAGTCGTTTAAGAGAAGTTCAGTGACATACAACACACTCACAGAAGAATTATATATATAAAGATTTCGAATCTAACAATTTTTCATGATTATTGGTCTTTAGGCCAAACATGTATGGAAGCTGAGCAATCTCCTTTGCTATAGATAGATAACTTATATAATTAATAGACATAAAGACAGTTAAAAAAATACAGAAATATTATAAAGGAAAACATTAAATAAATAAAAATACTAGAAAAATATACCACCCGGTCAAATTTTATAAATTAACCAATTCCATGCTTAACAATGTTATAAATAAAACATTATTCTTTCATTTTACCCTTTATTTAAAAAATAACAACATAATAATTGTAACATCTTAAGCTTGAACTTTGTGATGTTAAAGTCTAATTTTGAACAACTTAAAAATAGATGCCGCATCATATAATAATAAATTATCCCGGCAGGGAAACGAACTTTAAACTGTCCGCTCAAGGTAATTATTTTAAGAGCTTACAGCATTTATTCCAATATATTTTTTGCATAAATACAATAATTTATAAAAAAAAATATTCGACATTTGTAACATCATTATTTTTAAGCAGTTTAAATAGCACCTCCTGTTTTTAATTGCTAACATTAAAAAAATGAAGTCCACAGAAATAAAACTAATTATATAACTATGTATTCTTAAGAAGAATTGACAATGTCCGCGCCGTCTTCGTTAAAATAATTGAACTATGTTGTGAATCATTAAAGCAAAAACCTGTTGTAGTAATTGTTAATTATTATGTTTGTGGTAATGTGTGTAGAATAAACAGACATATTTTTTTACTTTATTCGATCTTACTGACGCGAAGATAGCTGATACAGCTTAATTAATTTTAAGTTTTTAAATGCAAACTTAGACAACCCACCTTAGTTATTTGATAAATTCGTTAAGAGTATTTTATTTGCATTTCTGATGATGAAATCTATAAACGCTTAAGAATTCTTTCAAAAAATATTTCGCTATTGTCCTTTCGGTCGTGATACTCTTTTTTTTGGTGTATCATAATTTATAGGACTTCTTTTTTTCCATTTTTTTTTTATTTTTTACAATCGATTTCATGGCGCAGACTATAAGTAACACTGAAAACTGTTTAAGACTGTTTTAGTTTTTTTCTCAAAATGAATTTGATTAAATACATATTAAAATGAAACCGATTTGCATTTATTTTTGGACTTTTAATTGTAATATTTTTATATCCTGAAATCCGTATCCGTATCCGCGGATAAAAAAAATTGCATACGTATATAACAACCATGATGTTAATATAATTATATCGGTTTTATGGAACACTACATGAATATACTTAATCAATAAGATATTGTGACACAAAGAAATCCTGTAACAAAACTTGTGCATCTTTGCTTTATGTTGTATAAATAGTTTTTATGTAAGTAACATATTTTGAGAGTGAATTGACAACAATGCCTCATTATTTTGAATCAAAGAAGTCACGTAATTATACCATCGAATATAAATATTTTTGTGTTTTATTTTTAAGGAAGATAAGATTGGGATAAATATTAAATCTCTGTCGTTTAAATAAAAATAGAAAAGAAAACTATAAGATTTTGGAAAAAACTTAACGAAAATCGGCAATAATAATATCTTGGGAAGATTGTGAAAATTAAAGCAAAATGTAGGCTTTTGTAGACTTTTATTATGTTGTAACAACAGACTTTTTGGGAAAAGAGTGCGAGCGGAAGATAATAACTTGCATCTGGTCAATTGTGTTTTTTGTTGCACGGGATATTTTATTACAATTTAATACTAATGCTAAAACATTATTGATAGTATTTGCGAGTCTTAGGGAAATAAATAGTATATTGGCATGTATATGTATTGTCTTTTTACCATGAAGTTCCAAATCACAGAAATTTAAACCTTAATGGTAGTTAAATAAGTTACTAGGATAACATTTACACGAAAATAATTGCCTTACCATTGCGTACTTAAATATATAAATGCATGCAATATGGACTAGCCTTTTTGGACAACCATATTTAGATGTCGTCGCCCGATCGTATTATTCGCCAGATGATGAATTTCCTAGACATATCGTTAAAGCCGTCATTTCATAATTGACCTAACCTAAGCTGTATAACATCACATTCTTAAAATTACATCTTGTTTAAATTCATATATTCGTTTACCTTTTATATCCAACCTTCCATAAATTTAGGAATTTTAAAACTCGGCGAATCGTTAAGATCGGGTTGCAAAAGTATTTAACAAAATGCGTATACATAATACACCACACATTAACATAAACAATAAAGGGAATTACAATCAAATGGGTAAAAGGTTAAAAATCACGAAATTGTCAACACCGAAACTAGAAATTTACCGTACCTTTAAAAAATATATCACACGTGTTTTTTAAACTCGTTAAAAGTTGTGTTACACACCATTGCACAGTTAAACATTGCTATTTCTAAGGCCATTTTTGGGCATGTTTGTATTCATATTTGTACAACTATTATTCGCGCAATGATCATATTTGTACATTGCATCACTATTCGTATTTGCTATTTGTACATTTGTTAGCAGTATATGTTTATCATGCTCTATGATAAATAAAAAGGAGAGACTATTGTCTAATTTACAAATAGCTAAGACGCGAAAAAAGTGAGGTGCCAGCATGATCAAAATAATTAACAAGATCGAATTCATTGTTTTGATACCAGAGTATGTAGCATGATGACGTGGGTTATCGAAAATGGTTTCATCGAAATAAATTACCATAAATGCCCAAACCGTTCTAGATAATGGCCTGAATTCATTCATCTGTCAGTCGCCATATATACAACGCGTGGTGTGGTGGTGGAATTGAGGCCTAAAAATTTATGTCAAATAATATCGAGCTAGGAAATTGAGGTATTTTTTATTTAAGTACTATTATACTGACCCAACCAGGTATCAAATCCGCGTGACGATCATGCGTTTACGACAACGAATTGACAAATCACTTTTTCGCCGTCTTCAATTGTTCTCCATACAACCTTCTTATTTCCTTCTTGTCTAACTTCCCCATAGCGTTTCTCGGCATTGTATCTACCACCAACAAATTCCTGGGCAACTGGTAGGGTGCCAGTTTTTTACCCGCTTCATCCTTCAATTCTTTCAACGTTAAATTGCACTTTTCCTTCAGAACTACTACAACGGACACTATTTCACCATAGTTTTCGTCTTCTACGCCTAAAACTGCCACGTCGGATACTGCTGGATGTTCTAATATAGCCGATTCAACTTGTAAGGCGCTCACTTTGTATCCTGATGTTTTAATTATGTCTACTGATGTGCGACCTAGTATTTTGAAGCGCCCCTCAGCGAATAATGCGGTGTCGCCCGTACGAAACCACCCGTCAGTCGTGAATTCTGATTGGTCTAATTTTGGCGCGCGATTCCAGTATCTGGGAAAAGGTTGTGAAGTTTCGTGATAGTTTGATGGTTATATAAAAAAATATTAGTTGAGAAGATTGAAATTGAGTATTGTATTGTTATATCTTACAGATAACAGATCAATATAATGTTGATTAACATTAAAATCTTAAGTCAATGGTTAATAAAACTGCTAGGATGTTTTAATCAAAATATTTTTTTTACTAGAAAAATATTCACGCGGACTAGGCAGCAGACGGGACTCCAACCAGCACCCTCCGCTATTGGGGCGGATGAACTGATTATGCTACCGAGGCCCTAATGGCCGTGTCGATTTTTTCTAGTATTTCTTAGGCTGCATGGCAGCACCATCTCTTCGCCCAGACCCGATTCGTGCGGGTTCGAGTCCCGTCTACTGCCTAGTCCGCATGGATTTTTTTCTATTAATTTTCCTTAGATATTTATTTTTAAATGTGATACTTCACGTAGTCGGAAGGAATGAAAGAATTTATTATATTGATATCTAATATTATCAAATATAGGTATGTGATTGTTTGTGTGTTATAATAATTTCATATCTTTGGGTAGAAAAAAACAAATATGAACTACTTATATATAGAGATAAGTGTCATGCGTGTTAACTTATCAATACAGGCAAAATAATATAATTTATCTAAGCTTGTAACTATTAGGTACGGTATAGTTATAGATAGTATATGAATATAAAAAGAAACATCCCGACTTTAGCACTTATCATAATAATATTTCATAAGCTGATTTAAGGACTTAATTACTCTTTAATTGGATATGAAACCAATGACGATCTACTGGAATGACTCTCTGTCTAATCACCTAGGTTGTCATAGTTTATTGTATTATCAATTTATATGCTCGTTCGATTAATCCGCGCCAAAAACTTCATACAAAAGACCTCACGGCACAGTGGCGCCAACTGGTGGCGTATATTTTTCTAAACACCTTCATCTCAGCATTTATTATAACACTAGCGGCCACCCGCGACTTCGTACGCGTTAAATTATTGTTTTTTTTTTAATTTATAGGTTGCCTAAGTTACTCCTTATTACATCAGCTATCTGCTAATAAGTCCCGCCAAAATCGGTCGAGCCATTTCAGAGATTAGCCGGAACAAACAGACAGACAGACAAACGTTGTAAAAAAATGTTATTTTGGTGTATGTACCGTATATATATATTTACCCCAATTTTATTTATATGTATAGATATATAGATGTATAGTTTTTTTCATAGGCTTATTAAATGACCATATAAATAAATAACTAAATATTCCCAATATACACACATATAGCCGGAAAAGATATTATAGGACATGTGATCTCACCTGCTGAAGACTCCGGAACCTTTAAGCAGCAACTCTCCTTGGTAGGCGCCGTCCTTGCTTTGCTTATGGACGGTTACAGTCGGTTGTTTCCAGTTAGAACCGGTTTCCGAACCACCCTTAGGTACGAGACCAAGTTTCTCTAGGGATATCTGGAAATGAGGATCCGTAAAGATTTTAGTTGAGTATGCAGATTTATAGAGCTAAGGCTGTGGTTTTTGTGGAAATTTTTATTCTACGACAAATATTGACGAAGTTATGACCAAAATTCTAAATGAATTTTCGGCTGGCCGGCATGGTGGCTGTGACGTCACAGAGCGCTAGCGCTCGGGCGCGAGTGCGCATGGAGAAGCTACTGAAGTTCGACCGGAGTGAACCACGATCGAGCTCTGTGACGTTACACGTTTCGGCCGCCGGTGAATATTGGCTACCATAAATTTAGTTCTAAAATCGTAACGAATGAACAAGTTTCGATGATTTAAAAAGTATAATAATTAAAAAGCTTGTTAGATCATTATACTGTTGATTTTGAGTTGATTTGTTGACCTAGTAATGATCCTCAATTGTTTGGTTTCTTTCATATCTGGCTGTATTGTAAGAAAGAGGTAGTACTATATATTGTGGTAAACACCATCAACAGATTCTTATTGTCCCATAATATATGTAATAATAATAAAATATATGGCCTAAAGCCATCTTATAGATGGGATAACGAGCCATAATCCCCACGTGGGACTAATGTGGAATGGTAGGTGCTAAAGACTGCAGGTGCAGCCGAGACTAACCAACAACTTAGCCGCTTCCACATCCCTCATTACCTCAGAATCTTTAACACGTTTTCACACACTTAGAGAAATACTGCTATCAGTACATTTTATAAAGGGCTATGTTGATTTCTTGTATATCCTATTATTATAAGGCTATTAATGTCCCCACTGCTGGGGCACAGGCCTTCCCTATGGATGGAATAGGGAGATTGTTCTGTGATCCACCACACGGGCTAAGTGCCAACAAATGCTAAAGACTGCAGATGCAGCAAGGTCCAACGGCTCAACTGGTCTTCCGAAGGTCGGTGGAGCTAAAGATAAGGTGAGAGAGTAAGGACAGGAGCATAAATAAAGCTATCTAGGTAAGTAACCTCCACTTTACAGTGGAATACAGCGAAATGACCACAGAACACAGAAAGAGGTTGTAGGCGGGGCAGGCGTGTCACAGTTATGTGTGAGCAAATGCTCATAACTTGACCAATACTTGGTTCTGATTGCGTCGTTGCTCTCGGGTGTGAGCGCTGATTGGGTTAATTATTTGATGTCGCGTCGTTTGTTTGGCTATTATCTATTAGTTGAAAGTGTAGTGGGGGCGAGCCGGCAACATCGGTTCCCGTACAAACAGTCTATGAGCACCCTTCTTAATCTCTTTCTGTGTTCTGTGGAAATAACACTACCTTTTATAATAACAATAATAAAACAATAACAAGATTGGTGAATAAAGTGGCTGTGATTCACTGCGGTGGGGATTAGGAAACGGCGTAAGTGATATTTTTAGTATCGCAAGCTTCTATAGACTGTGGCTAATCTTTATAACATAAAAAAGTTGGTCTCCTTCCCGATGGCAATGGCGAAAGTTGCAAAACCACTACTAAACAACGAACTTAAATCCTTAGTTTATAGTAAAAATTTACCTGCATATCCGGCTCATCGCATGCGACAGTGACCAAAGGTTCCAAGTCGTCATTTTCTTCAGTAGAGACGGCGATACGAGCTGCCACTCCAGGCAGCGGCGAGCCCACACTGCCTGCCGTCCTATCCTCAACGGACCGGTACGGATTACTCAGCGCCATACCCACTTCCGACATGCCGTACCGCTCTAGGAGACGGATGCCCGATATCTACAAGGAAAGATTTGAGTCAATAAATGGCGCTACTAGCGGCGCACCTAATGATGTAGACATATGAATATATCATACGATAAATGCCATATGAAATAGACGAATAGTATGGAAAGACTACGACGCGCTTAAGCTCAAACAGTCATAATATATCCGACTCATCGTACACTACAGCGACCAAAGGTTGGAGCCTTCTTTCCCTTCGAGCTGCTCACAGATCACCTTTATTAGTGCCCGCCATACTCAATTTTTGCTTGAAACCGAAATTGTCAAAGTTGGAGTTGTGGAGAGCAAGCGTCACACTGACGTGTCCAATCAAAACGCGTGATTGGACACGTCAGTGTGACGTCACGGACGGATAAAAAATTTGTTGCAGACTTCTATGGCGACGTTAGGTTGCGTATCGCGAGCATATGCAGTATTACTACATAAGCTTGGCATAAGCGAGTGCCCTTGCCCTGCCACTCCAGGCAACGGCGAGCCCACGTTGCCTGCCGTGCTATCCTCAACGGACCGGTACGGATTGCTATATCTACAAGGGGAGTTTTGAGTCAATAAATAGCGCTACTAGCGGCGCACTCAATGATGGTCATATAAAATAGACGAATATTACGGAAAGACCACGACGCGCTTTGGCTCACACAGTCACAATATTTATATTCAGCTCTTCCACGCTTCAGCGACCAAAGGTCTGCTGTAAAGCTGCTCACAGAGCACCTCCATTAGTGTGTTTCTTTAAGTGAGCTTATCCTATCACTTTATTCCTATTCTGTTGAAATAATATCCGTCGCTCTACATTCTGCCACGTAATATTTCCATCACTCAATACCCGTCACGTATCTACATATTAGACATTATACTCGATATTCAGTTACTTGATAATTTTCACGACGCTCGTTACAGATATCGTAAAGTGTTTCTTTACGTTGCGTTACGTTCATGAAAACACAATGTATCTCACATATTATATTAAATAAGATTGTTGAGGGCGATCGCCAAGTCAATTTATTTATTTATTTAAAACATACAATATTTTTAATATTGATAAGGTCAGTATAAGATGTTGTTAGGTGAGCTAAATTCGTAATAACTCAAGAGGTTCCTTAAGTAGGGACTGAATAAATTAAACGACTTGGCATAACATGGATCTCATAACTTTTGACGGTAGAAAAATTAAAAGTGAGTTGATAGACTTGGTTCTTTTACAAGTTATGTTTTTGATGGCTACTTTCTTTCTATCCGTAACTTACCTCCTCCCAATTCTTCAGCAGCGTTTCAGGCAGCGGCGCCGAACCAGCGCACATCAATCTCAGACTACGTTGCAGAATACCGCGTACGTGTTGAGCGGTACGCGGCGCCGGGAATAGTTCCGCGTGCGCGGAGTACAGACGCGCGTACATAGCCGGTACTCCGTGAAACACGGTCACTTTGCATTCTTCTCTTTCCCCCATGCCCAGTAAACGAGCCCATACTGTGTGCGCCGCGAATTGCGGCAGCATACGGATTCTGTGAAGCGATTTTTACCTCTAAACCAGAAGTTCTATAAACTTACTAGCTGTCCCAGCGAATTTCGTACCGTCATAAAAAAATAGGGGTTGGTGGTAGTAAGGTGAAAATTTAGGGTTGTATGTATTTTTGTATGATTAAAATCATAAAAAAAAAAAATTACGTGAGACCACCCTTAACATTTAGGGGGGGGGGGGGGGGGGGGATAAATAGATGTTGTCCGATTCTCAGACCTACTGAATGTTCATATAAAATTTCACGAAAATCGGTCAAGCCGTTTCGGAGTACTTTAATTACGCACACCGTGACACGAGAATTTTATATATTAGATTTTGTCTATAGCTCACTTACGGCTACTTTCAATAATCACACTCCAATAAGAAATAGGGGCATTAGAGCTTTCTTTCCTAGATATTTTTATTAAAATTATTTAATAACAACTGTTGCTAAGGAAACAATCCAGACTATCTTTACCCTACCTTTAACTACAAGAAGCTGATTATTGAAACTGGCCATTAGAGAATCAAAATATTTTCTAGTACCCAACAAAATAATTGACTTTCGGGGTTAAGTCAATCACAAAATTAAAAAAAAACGACGGGTTGCACTCCGGGAGTGCCGGCAGAAGTGAAAACTTGAATATTAACGTTGTGCATTTTTGATATTTTGGAATGGTTAGGGAATAATTTTGCACGAATTGCTTTAATTATCGGTATAAAAGTTCTATCATGTATGTGGTAGAATACAATATTTATTTATTGCGCTATCGTACACAAACATGACAATTTATATTACATTAAAAAAGTTTATCTCTCAGAAAAATCAACTTACATGAATCACATTTAAGCGCACCTAGTGACATCTATTGTAAAAAAAATGCATTTTCTTCGCAATAAAGCAGCCACGTGGACGTCCTAGATAGAGACTTATTATTATAATACGATAAAATAAAATATTACTATGTTTCGTCAAATATATTGATAGTCAACAACCTTTCCAATTTTATTGTGTGTCATGATGCGATCAGCCCACGTGTTTAACCTGACGCGAGTTTAACATTTTTTACCTATACAAAAAAAGTGTACAACGCCGCATAAGAAGTTTTCACTTCAAAAACAAACTTGTAAAATTGTGTATATTATTTATGCAATTAAAATTGAACAATATGCACCGATCATGCCCCGTTCTCCCTATTTTCATTTCCATCCATCGGAAAGGTCTGTGCCTCAGCATTAATAGGCTGCTCATGAATGTAATTCAATAAATTTATGTTTTAATTTTGTTCGGTATTTATATTTTACAGTTCTAATAAATATATCTATTTTAAGTTTTTACTAATCCAGCTCGAAGGACCATCAATATAAACTTCAATATTAACTAGAGATGGGCCCACTAGCTGCCGACTAGTCGGTAAAGACGACTATTCGACATCGTTTGTAGTCGGCGATTAGTCGGCGACTATTCGGCAAAACATACCGATTATAATCGTCACAAAACAATGAAAGAAAACTCAAAACTGACGATTGTTTTGAATATTTGAAAGGTACTTAGAGTATGTGTTTAAAGTTACCTACAGTCTTAAAATATTTGAATAAATGTAACATAATAAGAATTAGTAACTTAGGAATCTGTCAGTAATTCAGATAACTTAACACAATGAATATCGAAAATAACAAAATACCAATGGGCAGTAAGTATGTATTAATTGAGTAAAATCTTAGTGCTAGCGAGTCTTAAAGAAGTCCATAGGTAAAATTTATTTTGTTAGAGGAAAATTGTGGTGTGAATATTTCGGCTTGATTTGGGGTACTCGTGTCGTGCGTGAGCGAGCCGAGTAGTGACGAAATATTTCGAACTCCTTCTTAAGATAGGTATTAGAATGATCGGCATTGGAGATTAGTCGGCAATTCGAAAACCGATTAGTCGGTTAGTCGGCAAATACTATAGTTGGCCCATCTCTAATATTAACTTATCCGCCCCCCGCTCGCGACGTTCGTCAAGTAAACAGTGTTTTTGTTGTTGCTCCGTTAAATTAATCTTTTTTGACCAATAAATCATTATTGTTTAGTGTATCTATTACACATTCTTAAAGCTAAAAGTATTGATAAGCTTGTGGTGTAAACAGTTTTTCGATATCTAAAACCTGTGAAAAGTATTTACCGTAAATACAGATTGATAAATATCTTCGAAGCGTAAGGCGATGCGCGTGAGTTATTATCACTATTATTGACTACCTACCTACTCAAAAAAAAAAAAAGTGCTGCCTAAATAACGATCGTTCGCAAAGATAAACGGATCAAACGATACAGTGTGTGTATGTGAAAGCAAGAATAGTTTCTACATTTATTTATATTGAGTATTTTTTATAAAAATGTTGAAGAGAACACCTCCCAATACCCCGTCTGCCGTACTATATAATTCAGATCCGAACTTGTTATCGCATTCTGATGCACAATCTGATATTTTAAACGTTAACCAAAGGAAAAGAAAACGGGACGAGGCAGACATCAGTCGTCTAGAGGAAATGATGTTAGAAATGAAGTCAATGTTTTCCGAGTTAGTTTCTCAACAATCGCAACAAAACACTAAAATTGACTTATTAAAAACATCTATTGATGATATACGACTACAAAATCAATCGATCAGCACTCAGAACGCCGAGATTAGATCACAGAATGAGGAGATTCATAAGTCAATGGAATTTCTTTCACAAAAATATGATAATGCATTATTGGAAATGGATAGACTCAAAAAAGAATGCAGCAGAAGAGATAAAATAGTCAATTCCCTGGAGTATACTTTGGAAAATATGGAGAAAAATTTAAAAGCTTCGAAAATTGAAATAAAAAATATTCCAACCTCAGACAAGGAAAATAAGAACGTCCTTATCGATTTGGTACGGGAAATCGGTAAAATAATAAATATGCAATTAGAAGAAAGACACATTAAGGAGATTTTCCGTACCAAACCTGGCAAGAAAACTGGAGACGGAATTATTATTGTGGAGTTCTTTTCCTCTTCTATTAAGGATCGATTTTTGAAGTCTGTGAGAGAATTTAATAAAACAAACAAAGAAAATCGCCTGGATACTCAGCATTTGAATGTAATAGGACCAACAAAGCAAGTGTATGTGGCAGAATCGCTCACAGCAAAAACAAGACGTTTATTCTATTTGGCCAGAGAATATGCTAAAAACAACAGTTGCGACAGTTGCTGGACCACATTCGGAAAGGTGTATCTCCGTACAAAACAGGGAAAAGCTCCCATTCGCATCGATACGGAGGAAGATCTACATAAAGTTAACGTTAATGCATGACTAATTTTTCCTTGTATTTTTTGCCTTATAATTGTATTTATCGTGAACTTTATATTTCATTTAATCATTGTAATAATAAATTTGTGCAGTAATTTAGTTACATATTTACACTACGAGAGTAACTTAATCCAAAATTGTTATTATTACCTACAAAATGTATCTGAAGAACACGCCCAACTGTTGTTGTATTTACTCACACACTGTACACTCACATACACCCCTACACCTACACCTATACAATATTATGCTAAGAAGCTCACTCGACCATTATATACACACAATACTCACTCTCTTAGATACTTTAATACACAAACATTTGCTTTTAAAATAAATCATGTGCATATAAATAAAACTGTGCAAAGTTATGCATATTATTTAATACATCAACTCTTAATAAAAACTGTAAATATGCTTTTTATTATAATGGACCTGAAATTATTAAACTAATAAAAAATGGATAGTATACAAAATAATCTTTATAACGATCTAGACCACATAACCTTAGCGGACTGTGATACATGTGACATAGAAAATTCTAAAAAGTTATTAATTAACTCACATTCTTCGCTAAAAATAATAGTTCAAAATATCCGCAGTATTAGACGTAATATATACCAATTCCAGGCTTTACTGCAGTGCTCCAGTATTGCATTATTTTGACTGAATGCTGGCTTAAAAAGAACCAAAATATTCCCCCAATAGATGGTTACAGTTACGACAAAACGAGGGTGTTGTATTATATTACAGGCCAACCCAGGTACTAGCAGTGACGGAGCCTAATATTAGTGGTGCAAATTGCCTTATGATAATGTTGAAACAGAACACAGTAATTTTGGGCATCTATCGTCCGCCTTCGGAAAAAGACATCTCGGGCTTTCTTGAAAGTTTAGATATTATCCTGAGGGGCCTGGCATCATTTCACACTGTTATTTTAACGGGTGATATAAATATTGATATTTCCGATGAATCTGTTGATCCAAGGGTTCAACCTTATCTTGATCTACTTGCATGTCACGGTATGTTATCAGCTCACCATATACCCACACATACCAATACATGTCTTGACCACGTTATACTTAAAACCAAACTGCCTGCTCGGTGTCTCGTTGCGCATACCACAATAACTGATCACTATAGTGTCCTTTTAAGCTTAGATCGCCAAAAATCACATTCCAACTTAAATAGGGTGACCAAACGGGTTGACTATACATCCTTAGAATTAGCTCTTGATAATAGTGATCTACCCTTAATTTTGGGCATGATAGATGTGAATCGGGCAGTTAGTCATCTTATCACTACTCTAAATAATATGCTTAGAAGCTGTACTAAATTGATAGGGATACCGAGACGTAAACGTACCATGAAACCCTGGATAACAAGGGGCATTATGAGATATATCAAAAACCGTGATAATTTACACAAAAAACTAAAAAAGCAACCCAACAATGAGATTTTACAGACCACTTACACTAGATATCGAAACTACACAAATTCAATTATTAAAAAAGCAAGAAGGGAATTTGAAAAGTTAGAAATTAAGAAAGCTCAAGGCAATACAAAAAAGCTGTTGGAGGTAATTAAGGCAATAACATTCACCGTGCGTCAAAAAACTGCACCTATTGAACTAATAGAGGACTGTAATCATTTGGATGGAGTTAATGCGGTAAATCAATACTTTGTTAATATTGGTAAGACTTTGGCGGAGGCTATCATGACCAAGGATGCGTCGGATGCGGCTGATTTTGAAGCTCAAACCGTTTTAATGGCCAACTCGCTTGGCTTTCTTGAAACCGATGAAGAGGAAGTCAGACTCATTATACTAGGTCTTAAAAATGATTGTGCTGTGGGTATAGATAATATATCGAACAGCTTGATAAAAAGATACTTTGCCTATTTGACACCTGTATTAACACATATTTGCAATCTAGCTCTGCGTAATGGTATTTTCCCCCAGTTTTTTAAGAGCGCTGTAATACATCCAATTCATAAAAGTGGTGACAGAAGAAGCGTCAGTAACTATCGCCCAATATCTATTCTACCTTCCATGTCAAAGATTTTAGAAAAAATTGTAAACAAGAGGCTAGTAAGTTATTTTGAAACTAATAATTTAATATCTCCTTCACAGTTTGGCTTTCGTAAAAACAAGTCAACTGCAGATGCTGTATACGAACTCACCAACTTTGTGGTAACAAACCTAGATAAGAATAAAAAGGTTATAGGAATATTTTTAGATCTGGCGAAGACATTTGACACGGTTTCTGTCCCACTTCTAATAAACAAGCTGCAGCGACTTGGGATTCGTGGTAAACAGCTTGATTTCTTTGAGAGTTATCTCACTGAGCGAAGACAGTGTGTTAGAATTGTTGATACCTGTAGTGGTGATCTTCCTGTTGAATATGGTGTTCCACAGGGCAGCGTTTTAGGACCAACCCTGTTCCAAGCCTTCATAAATGACCTATGTCAGCTGATACTCACAAACGGGAAAATCATTACTTTCGCTGACGACACAGTGATTCTTTTCGAGGGTGATACATGGGATGAGGTCTATCGTTATGCGCAGAAAGGTTTCAACTTGGTTAGTAAATGGCTTGCCAGGAACCTGCTGACGTTGAACAAAGACAAAACTAAATACATTTCGTTCTCAATCAGAAACACTAATCATCTAGCTAACACCAACCACGAAATCATAGCACACTCCTGTGCAAACTTCACTAATGATTGTGATTGTACTCGACTACAGCATGCGGACCAAGTTAGGTATCTAGGTATTGTCATAGACAAAAATCTTGGTTTTCATTCTCATATTGATTTACTGACATCTAGGGTCAGAAAATTGATTTACATTTTTAAGAACTTGCGCCATGTTGCTGATGAAAAAAAAATAATAAGATTTACTTATTTAGCACTTTGTCAGTCTGTATTAACGTACTGCATTCCGATGTGGGGTGGTATACCTAAATCTAGCCTTATCAAACTGGAGCGTGCACAAAGAGCAGTTCTAAAGGTAGGTTATTTTCTGCCGTACTTATATCCTACTCTGGACTTATACCGGAAATGTAAGGTGCTAACGGTGAGACAACTTTTTATCCTTTACACTGTCATTAGAACACACAGCTCTTTAACATATAATCCCCTCCTTAACATTAATAAACGTCAAAAAGGCAAGGTTTGTCAGATAAAAGAGTTCAAAACCAGCTTTTCTCACAAATTTGCATGTTTTTTAGGTCCGATGTTGTATAATAAAATAAATCAAATCATTCCTATTTATCATCTTTCGAGGTATGAAATTAAAGGGGTTTTGAGTGACTGGCTTCTGGGCTTAACGTACATTGAAACTGAAAACCTTCTGACTGTTCCATCTTGAATCTTCTAATGCATTTTATTTTTAAATTCTTTGGATTTGATTTTTCGTTTTAATGGTTTTTGTATGGCAAATGTATGTGCATTACATACACGCACTCACCACATGCAAGCTTACAAACACACACACACACACACGAACACGCACAAACACACATTAATAGACACCCATGCACAAACATAACATAACAACAAACACACACTCAAACACCCCCACACACACACCACAGTCATTAATTTAAGTATATTATACATCATATCGTTTATTCTCTCGTGAAAATGAGTTTATTGAATACTATAGTGTAGTATGAAAGTGATGACCGGCGCAGTGGGAGCCTGGTGATCTGTATGACAGGTTTCACAACCTAGTGCAGACACCAGTCTCGGGAAAGGTTAAAATTATTTGCTAATTATACTTTGTATTTTATAACATAAGACTGTAACCATTCTTGAGAGAAATAAATAGATTATTATTATTATTATTATTACTTATTAACTTATTTACCTATAAAATGACCATCAATATAACTTCAATATTTATTTTAATTTGAACTCACCTTGCACCAGCGGCGAGTGAAGCATTTAACGAGTTGAGCTGTCCATGTATATGGTGTAAGGGTAAAGTATGCAGTACTACATCTGAAGCGGAGTACTGCCAGGCGGTTTGTAAGGCAGCTATTTGAGATCCGAGCATGCCGTGCGTCCAAACTACACCTTTCGGTTTACTTGTGGTTCCTAAATGAATGCATTGTGATACTTGAAAAATACCTTTGATCAGTTGAAAAAGTTACTTAAAACATGAAAAAAAATATGACAATGCTGTTGCTTATATGCGGCAAAAGGCCTAAGGACGAAGTAGGTATGGAATCAAATTTAGTTATTAAATTAATAGTTGTGAAACGAAATGTCTTCGTATTCCAGCTAAAAATAAAAAAGGAAAAAATAAAGCAAGGGGAAAAAAGCTTTATATACATTTACAATATTTTGACGACTTCCGAGGCCGACTGGTTTGTACGCCGGGTTTTATAGTGTCGCCGACTCGAGAGGATTCGAATCCCGGTGGGGGCAAATGTTTGTGTGATGAATACGAGCATTTGTACTCCAGTCATGGATGTTTAATATGTATTTCTATATAAATATACTTATATATGTACAGTATATGTATTCTATCCGTTACCCTAGCATCCCATAACACAAGCCTTACAGTGCTTATCTTGGGGCTAGGCTAATTGGTGTAAATGTTGGAAATATTTATTTATTTATATTTATTTAATTATTTTTGAAAATATCGGCGCGATTCTGTGTTTTGATTTTTCTTTATCTCATCGAGCATTGTTTGAATGGAATAAAATGTTGCCAGTCTCATATTTTTCTTAACTACTTTACTGTTATATAATATTCACAATACAAATTATGCTTAGTTCGGGTTTAGGTCTAATTATAAGTAGGACAAATCTCAATATTTTTTTACTGAAAAATAAAAATCTTCTCGTTCGGACGGATGGCCAACAAAATTATAATAAGGTATGATAAATCACTATCAGTATCACATACTCACCACTAGTATAAATCAGCATGGCATCAGCTTGTCCATACCACTCATTAGTTTTCCCAACATCAGTCAAAACATCTGAGTCTTCCTGTTTCTTCATGAAAGCAGTATTTGGTTGGTACAGTTGAGCGATGATCTCCCTGTCTTTGCCAGTCACCAGTAAAGGTTTCGAGAGTTCCTTAGTAACTGGTTGTAAAATTTTCTCAAAGTCTTGGGTGCAAACTATGAGACTGGCGTCACTGTCAGCAACAAAGTACTTTAGCATATCCGGTGGATGCAGAGGCGTCAATGGGATGGCTGAAAAATTACTGAGTTGACAGGTTTCTGTATCATATTTTTTTATTGATATAGTTATAAACCTACAGTTAGATGGTTTAAAACTTTGGTATAACACCAAATACATAACAGTAATAAGTAACAATAAAATACCGCCATAAACGCCAATTGTAACGCTTCGGTTAAATCAAAGCGTTACAATTGGCGTTCAGGAGATAGTGATGTCGATTCTGGCATGATTCTCTAAAGCTAAACTTAAATTTGACAACAGTGCAGTCCTTGTCATACTCTACACAGATTATAAATGACAGACTGATGTTAAATTTAGTTTTAAGTTTCGAATCCTGCCAGAATCGACACCAGTAGCGATATCTATTGATTAAAGAGAATTACGAAATTTATGATGCTTAAAAACTATTTTTTTCACGTTTGTACACATTTCAGGTATGTATTTTTGCATACAAACATAGCGTTCTTTTCATTACCTATATTGCCTGTCATCCAAATGGCCCACTGGGTGATAACATGCGATGCGTCGTTGTTGCACATATATGCGACAGTTCGCTGCGTTTCACCGACTGCAAATAATAAATCCATAAGTAATTACAATTATAAACTGGAAAGTATGTCCGTCTGTCTGGTTACCTTTTCATGCTAAAACTGCTGAACGATTTAGGCGAAATTTGGTATAAGGTTGAGCCTCGGGAGAGGAAATACGATAGCTTTTGTCCCAGTAATCATCCTTTAAGAGGCTGAAAAGAGGAGGACTAGTGTCCCTACTGCTGGGGGAAAGATAAACTTTCCTTACTTACAGAATAAGAGAAGGAGAACTGGCAATAGCGATGGTGACTATTTTTTTCTTCTTGGTATCAGATAAATTACCAAAAATTATTGGACACGTAATATTTCTTTATTCATATTTATGACTGAATTAATTCGGGGCTGTTAGTGATCGAATACCTCCATCATTCAAAAGCAGGTGCGCCGCAATACTTTCCTACCCTTTACATATTTTATTAAATTGGTCCGTTGCAGAGGAAGTTTTTCCAAGTGTATGGAAAGAGTAGAAAATTACCGACTCATATCAATTTTACATGTATTCGGAAAATGATTTGAAAAAGCTGTTTATAAAAAAAAATATCTTATAATAAAACAAGGTATACCCTTTGTTTGTGGGTATACCTAACGAACAACACGGTTTCGGTTATTTGTGAGTAATTTGCATAAAAACATGGGCTTGCAATCTCAGGTTGACGTGATACACACGGACATCGAAAAAGCCTTCGATCATGTGGATCACGTCATACTTCTGCAGAAGCTCTATCGACTAGGTATACGCGGTGACCTATTAATATGGATTAAATCGTATATATGGAACCGAAAGCAGGCTGTGGTAAATGGCGGTGATTGCTCTGAGTTTGTTAGTATACCCTCCGGTATACCCCAAGGTTCCTTGCTTGGTCCTTTGTTTTATTCAGCTTATCTAAGCGAGATTAGGTCCTGCTTTAAGCATGAAAAATTTTTGCTTTATGCTGATGACACCAAAATATGTATATATGAAAATCAAATCAAATGAAGATTGTCCACAACTACAAGAAGATTTGGATCGACATTGGGAGTACCACGTTCGGAATAGAATTACGGTAAATGAAATAATTATACAAAATTTTAAGGATGGACCACCCTTAACATTTAGAGGGATGAAAAATAGATGTTGTCCGATTCTCAGACCTGCTGAATATGCATATAAAATTTCGGAATTCGGAATAGTTCAATTACGCACACCGTGACACGAGAATTTTATATATTAGAGAGATGGAGAACGGGCTGAGCGGCAATGACATGAAATTGACAACTCTCTAGAGAGAAAAAGTTTCCAATAAATTGACAAACTATGGACCGGCCGATCGTTTCGTCTCCCTGACAACTACTTTGTTTTACTTTACAAACTTAAGTCGACACGTCATCAAGCGGCTGCCAAACATTATTAAAATAAAACTTACGCAATTGCGCTGCAATCTCCTGACTGAGCGCAGTCGCGGCCTGGTGTAACCCCGCATAGGTGTAGATCCCGACCTCATCTTGTAGTGCAACACGCGAAGGAAACAGTAGCGCTTTCCGAAACACAGGGACTGCACCTCCTGTCAAGAGTAGGTATAACCAATTAAGAGAAAAGAAATTGGTTGTCACCAAGTAGGTATATTTTTTTTTGCTAGATAAAGGCCGTGGTAAAGTTCTTTTATAAAATGGGCCCCAGTATTATTGCAGTCGACCTGTTTATTGGAAAGATAGCAACTTTTTAAATAGTAGGCAAAAGTAATAAGCCATACAGCTGTGTATAATACAATTTTAAAAGTTGAATTCACATTCAAAATACACATATATTAATAATCATAATCAAAATCATTTATTCACTTTAGGCTGTTACATGCACTCATGAATGTCTAGAAGCTACGCCATCGGTTCGTAAATCTACGGCGGGAGACCTTGTACTGAGAATAACCGGCAAGAAACTCAGCAAGGGCTGTTTTTTTTCTCCCTGTTTTATTATTTACAGAGTCGTCAAGTTAAAAAAATATTTCAGAGATGATGAATTCACCTTTTCTTACATAATGATTAAATATACATTAATTGTTTACCTGCATTTTGATTGCTGTGTCATACAAATAGTGTAATTCAATATCAAGGAAGTTAGGGCAGACTTATCTCCGCTGGCAGCACCTGTTCATGAGCATGATGCATGAAGCAGCCATTACTTAGCTCAACCATATTTTAGAGAATGTACCAACCCGCATAAAGGGATGTTTCGCATTTTGCGGTTTACATGATACAATTATGCCTAGATTTTTTTATAGAATTAGTGATGTTTATTTTGATGTGATAAGAGGATATTAAAATAATATTTTTGTTGGAGCTGCCTCTTAACACCCAGGTGATTATATTTACGGTTGATCAAAGGACACTAAAGAGTCGCCTATGAAAACCCAGGTGATCATAGTGGAATAGACCAAATCTTTGGTCACCAATCCAATGACCGACCACTGCGGAATTTGCCTAACTTTAACAATTTTATAGCTGATTACACAGAAATTGACTAAGGCTACGAACTCACGAAGCGATTTTCACCCACGCCAGCCACTGCTGCGGTCCCGAGAAAATAAAACAGCTCTGCGGCAGATGTGGCAGAAAAACAACGAGTTCTTAGCTAAGATGTGCATACTAGTCACTTATCAACACTGAGTCCAGAGTGTTCAGTTATCGCCCACTCTTCCTATGAGATCCTGTCCACAGGGAAGCCCAACAGTGGGGACTTGAATAGGCTAATAAGAACTTTGATTGACAGTTGGTATTACTGAGTGGCTATGCCATAAAGATAATAAAAGCAGATTTTGAAAAAAAATACTATAAGAATCTGGACTATTGTTTCATTTCATTATAGATTTTCTGAATTTTATGATTTTTTATATTATTTATTTATTTATTTATTGCTAATTCTATTCCATCCACATAGCACGGAATAGCATATTAAGCAACTATTACCAATGGCTTAACATGCCTTCAGTAACACAGAGATTGAGATAGTACATTTTTGGTCACGCATCTTATTGCAGAAAAATGACAAAGTTCTTATTAACATGTGCACTTTTGAACTCTCCCTTATTACAACGTAATTCCTCCTCATGATTTATAAATCAGTAATCATGTTTGAGTTTTGCTATCCTATTAATGTTTATTTCTTTTTGTTGAAATACTTTAGTAGTGAGTTCAGGTGTTATTTATTACCTTTTTCATCAGGGGTAAGCTACCCTTAACTAGGGTTACCAACTTTTTTTCTATCAAATACAGTATTTTCGAAGCTGTTACCTCTTAAAATATAGTAGATAGCAGAAATTTTGAAAAAATATAGTATGTGGTTAAAATATTGACTATTTTTGAAAGGAATATATTTTTGCTGTTCTATGCCTTCATAATTATATTTTTAAATTTTATGAAAGCCAGTACTGAAAGTATCTGCTTAGAGCAAAATATAGTAGTTTCGCCTACTATATTTTTATTTTAAAATATAGTATTTGATCTCATAATATAGTAGGATACTTATTATATAGTAGGGTTGGCAACCCTAGCTTTAACCATCCCCCTTTTAACCCTTCAATTGCTGTAGTGCAGCGCTGCACGCCTTCGTGAGTAAAGTCCGTTTGGGGAAGTGTAGATCTGCTCGCTCGTCACCCGCATTCAATTTTTTGCAATTTTGGGAATAAATACAATGCAATACAGTTCAAAGTCTTTTGAATTTTATACCCAGATGAATACACCATTCACTCATTGTGGTGAAGTCGTTCTTATGACCAAACAACCGTTAGTACGACGATTTTAAAATCGAGTATCGGGGAGCTCGCAACTAAAAAGTAATTTTTAAAACAGTTTATTAACAACATTATATTACAACAGTATATTATTTTTTTGCAAAAATCTATTGTTTAGTTATTCAACTTTGAAAAGGTTATCAATGAAAAGCACAAGTATTCGTATAATTTATTCAAATCGCGTTTATGCCACCTAAGGTGCGAAATTGATTTTGTCTACGTTTCCTGTTAAAAATAAAAAGGTTGAAACAATTTATATAGGAAATTACTAAAAAAGAAGGTACATTGACTATCTATAATTGAAATAAAATATTTTGCTGCATGTCGACCGAACGATTTATTAAAGTTATTGAATAAATTTCAAACCGCGTCGAGCGCGCGCTGCGGCCGCGCAATCGTTCCGCAAGCGGGGGGTGTTTTAGGCGGAGGCTTTCCCGCAATTGAAGGGTTAATGACAGATTTTTTTGGAGAAGTTACAAAGGTATAAATTTTACTGAAGAGAACCTATGACTCTTACAATAATAAACTTAACAAAAAACACAAATACTTATCTACAACTATCACTTATCAAAGTGCGGACAAGGCATTAGGTATAAAGTTATTTTTATATTGACTTGACGTAACTAATCTTAAAAAATCAAATGCCTTAGGAACTACGCATTTCCACAGTAAGGTAAGAGGGTGAGAGAAACCAATGTTTTAGTTATTTAAATTAGCATACCAGATTTGATGTCTTCGTTAAACGAATTCAGGAGTTCTGAATTAACCTCTTCCTTCAATTGTATGTTCACAGTTTTATACCTTCTAGATGTTTTTAGAGGTTGAAAGAGAAGCCGGTTCACATATCGAAAAGATCGACACGACAGTTCCATTTTTATTTAACAGAAGTTGGTATTTATTTAGAGAAAATATCAGAATCCTTGGATACAATATAACACTAGCCGGAACAACACCTTATATACTTTTTCTAAATTATTTACATAAAAAAGTTATTTTTTAAAAGCTATTTTCGCTGATTTTCACGACTGTTGCTGACAGACGTCAGATGATCAGATGATCTCGGGGTGATCTCGGGTGTATTCCGTAATATATACCTATACCAGTATACTGGGCCAGTGCTAATGACATCATGAATCGACGCTATACTGGTGAATTGTTCCGAAATACACTGGCCAGTAGACATCAGTGCACTGGCCAGTGTATTTCGACGAAATATTAAAAATAGTGCGAATAAAGAAGATTTTTTATTCACCTCATCAATTAAAAGGAATTCTTTTTATTCGGATGGTTTTATTGTTCCTTAAATAATAAAGAAATAAAATTTGAATGCTTCTCACGCACGCTCGGTCATACGTCATATTCGTTTTCCCGGTAAAATATGATAGCATACCCAGTGACGCCTTTGACCTATTGGAGGCCCTGAGCATATTAGGATAATGGGGCACTTGCAGAAAGTGCCCACTGAGAAAGACGGGTCTGAGCATACCAGTACAATGTGGCGTCGGATTCGTGACGTCAATACCACTGGCCAGTATACTGATGCATATTTCGGTATACACCCCTCGTTGTAATACTTATTTCAATCCGTCAAACTAATTGTTTGACGCTCGGTGATAAGTCATATTCGTTTTCCCGGTAAAAATATGGTAGCATGCCAGTACAATATGGCGTCGGATTCGTGACGTCATTACCACTGGCCAGTATACTGATGTATATTTCGGAATATACGCTATGATTTCTAGCAACTCAGCTGAGTATGTCAATGTCAATGTCAAAATCCAAATGTCAAAGCAGTGTCAACAATACATTTATTAAATTTATTTATTTATTGCACCTCGCGCTTTTGAGTTAGTTGTATTTGTGATTTTAAATGAATTCAATTGATTAAAATTAAGTAAGAAAAATCTACATCGATGATGATCGCAAATGCACCCGATTCGCCTATACAGGCAGAAGTTATATTTGTAATAGAGGCTACTTCTTCGAATGGAGCGTATATAAGCGAACTGAAAACGAACTACATCATTCCTACTTTAGAGTATGTATAATTATTTTTAAATCAACTATTTCTACAGATCTCATTATTTACTCCATACATAAGTTCGTTTCATAAATTTATAGTTTTATAACCTCCTTCTACATCGATACACCATTGTTTTAATTTCCTACCTACATTCTTTAAAGCTGTCATTAATGATGGAATGAGATATGTATGAGCAATAAATACATAGAACGTAGAAAATGTTTACAATAGAGATAAGTATCTTTATAGTAAATGGTTTTACTTGATAGTAAAACTATTTACATACAAAATAGTTTCTTTGCAAACATTTGTAGCAGTTGACTAGTGACTTGTCCTAATATACTAAATATACAATTGTTAGCATGTGCTGAAGCAGTGATGATTAAGCTTAATTATATTAAAAAATCTAAAAGCTTTATGTTCTGCCAATCTTTCAAGGCATTTTGAGGTTATATCTATGAAGTGCAAGAAAATACCACAACAATAGGGTTTGACAGTTTTAAAAATAAAGTGCCAATTGTTAGCATATGTGTTTAGAATGAATATTGGCAGGGATTTTCACTATTTTTACAGAAAAAATATTCATAATTTTACTAAAAATCCATGAAAAAAATAATAGTTTTCTTATCTATTGTCACATGACCCAAAACACTTGGGATTGGCAGAGCCTGAAGTGACGTCACACGCAAGTAAACTTCTGGTTAAAGTGACATTACATTGTATCGTTTGACATTTAATAACAGTTGTGTGATATCACATGCTAGTGACATGCCATATTGTCCAGAGAAAGGTTTTCGCGGTAACTTGAAAATGGAGTTTTTGGTTTGGTTAGTTTTACTGAAATACACAACAGAATGATGAATATCCACTTTTTACGGTCTCCATAAATATAAGTCAATAACGTGAGATCGTTTTCTAAAACTTGTCATATACCCTATTAGTTTCTCTGTACTGATAATACAATTTTATTTGTCAATATGACAAAACTTTGGCTATTAGTTTCTGTATGCTTTTTGTGAGCATTAGCCAGGTTTATTAGAGGTTTTACAGTAACAACATATGTACACTGAGCTGGGCCTGTGTTTTGGGCTATAGCTGCTTATTTCCATAGGATAAAAATGAGCTTCAGCAATAAAGGGACTAGTTAACATTAAATTAGTTACCAAAAACAACACTTCCTTGTTTAGTGTCAAGCAGGGTATTATCTATACCCAACCTTTACAGCTTTAACAGTCAAATATCTAAGTTTTATGTAATTATTTTTACTAGCTCCAACCCGCAACTTCGTCCGCGTCAATTTTAGTTTTTTGGGAACTCCATAGGAACCTGGTATTATTCCAGGATAAAAAGTATCCTATGGTTCAATGCAGGTCATAAACTAGTATTTGCTTACCTAGTTTTCTCCAAATCCATTCAGTAGGTTTTGCATGATTGAGTAACAATATACAAACTATCAGTACATTTATAATATTAGTTGAAAAAGGTCTCAAGTTTTATGTATTTTTTTACGTTTGAAAAAAAAAGTATTTAATTTTATATATTAAAAATAATTTACCAATCAATTATTCTATTTGTTCAATTGATTTAAATTGATTGATACCTTAATTGATAAATTTTCCAGGTATTTCCATGGTGGCCCTTTGGAGGAAGGCGGTGGTACAGGTTCAGTGTACTGTATCGTAACATATAAATCAGCTGACTGCCATCCTGAAGATCCAGTTGACACATATGGACCATTCAAATGTCCGCAGGCTGTTATAGAAGCAGTTGATAAGTTACAGTATGTTAACATTTTTTTATAAGTAGTTCTAAAGTTATACTAGATAAAAATGGCATAAGTAAATCACCAAAAATACAATAATTGATCCTTGATCCTCAAAAATACAATAAAAATACAGTTGGTAACCTAATAAAACCGTTAGTTGTACCGAATTGGTAACCTCTTTTGTTCGTTTGGAAAATGCCTGATGCCTACCTACCTGATCACTGGAAAAGGAAAGCGGGTAATGTCGAACTCTCCCCTGCCCACCCACTAGAGGAAATGTTTTTCTACCCATTCTTTTAATATTGGTGTTTTCGAGAGTTCCGTGCCGCAAACCCTGGTCTGCGTCTTTTATCTCCTGTTGCAACTCCAGCCAATTGTATTTTAAGGTGATCATTTATTTTTCTTTTCTTTATTCAAATATTTCCCGAAAAAATCCACTGTGCCATAAAATTATCCATATGGCATTGAACCATCGCCTCACTTTCTGGGCGATTGCAATGACCACTGTGCTGCAGATAATTTGATTCTAGTTTGATACCTAGACAAGTAATTTATTTCTAACTTAATTTAATATTATGATAAAAAACTTAATTTAATATTTAGATTAAACATACAATTACCTTTAGGATCTAGCAGTTTAGAAGTGAAATGAACATAATAAAAACTGTTTTTTTTTTGTTCAGATTCATAGGTGGACATTCAGACACTCGAGCGTGTGTCACGGAAGGTCTTGCGACAGCAATAGAATGTTTTGAGGAATTAGGACGGACAGACATACCAATGCACTTATTGTTGCTGTGCTGCTCTTCGCCGTACGCGGCGTACGCTGGAGGCTTGGTCCCACAAGGTAAGAAGGCGATAGAACATACATATTTTACAATGAGTTACATTAAAAATATAAAATTGAAACCATAGGTACCCTATGGTCTATCCTATATATAATAGTATCCTATGGTCAGATCGTTTTTATGGGGGTTGTGTAAAAGATTGTCATTTTTTTTATTTTCTGAGTTCCTTATTTTTATGTTGAGTCCTGTCTTTTTTTAATTACCGCGTCACCGGGTTTGGGGAAGGTGAGATTTAGTATTCTAGGCGGATGGCATCTCCCTACGGGGGTGTCTCCTGTCCGCCTGGAGCTTCTAGACCACTCAAACCTGAGGAGGTCGGCTCAACTAGAGGGCGTCTCTGAGACTCAGACCTCGGGTCTAGTTAGCCGTTATTGTGGGGGGATTCCTGTCTTGGTGTTGTTACAGTAGCTTAATTTATTTCAAGTTGATTGATACTGTTGAGTTGATATATAACTTTGGAATTGAAGCAATTTATTGTATTCCCATACAAACTTTCATTCATATGTCGTTTACCGATACACAAACTATCTTTATACCAAATTTTATCAAACGTAATGCTTGACCTCCTTTTTTTTCTACTGTTATCATTGAATTGGATGTAAGACCTGATATCTCATGTAATATTAAATTAATCCCCCCAAAATGTTTTCGCTACGCGATTGTCGCGATTATCCAATGTGCCTTTAGCCCAATTTTCCAGATTTTTATCTAAAGTGCGGCCAAAAGAATACGACCCTGACAGCTCGTGTCTTTAGAATAATAATAATAAATTCATTTATTTCGGATATTTATCCATAGTGTTAGTAACAAAATTAACCTTATAAACTATGTTAGTAACAGGAAAATCAATTATGAAATAAAAACAAAAACAAAACACCACTCATCATATCGATTATACGTGATAGTAGTGTCTTTTGTTAGGTAAACGCGAGTCCAGTGCTGCATTATAGCGCTGTCCACGTCCAACATCCCCGCCACTATCCTCAGGAGGCTATTGGAGCCGCCCCGCACCCGCTATAACAAAGATGCGATACGTTTCCTAATGATAACAGAAAAACTATCAACTTCAGCCGTCGCTAACATCCCCGAAGCACTACAGAAGCCTGGCAGCCCCATCAGCGCCCTGCAGGCGTTGTTGTATTGGAAGAATAAATAACACTTTCGAGTTAGCAAAAATGAGGTCCGAAAATTAACGCAAAATTTAGTTGTGAAAAAGAACTGACACGACCTGTCACGTTCACATTCTTTCGTTGCTGCAATGTAGAGTTTTTAATATCGTTGGTTGTATACTTTAGGTGTACCAGCGACAGTAGAACAAGCAGCTCGCCAGCTATCCGAGCTCGGTGTACAGGTTTCCATAGCGGCCGCCAAGAGGATTCCCACATTGCACTCGTTGTACGAAAACGCGGGCGGGGACCTGCACCAAGCACAGCAGAGGAATTATGCGAAGGTAAGAAAACGGTTCTTTTCTGGGGTTTCTTAAACAAACAAACACTTTCTCCTTGACGATAAAAAGAAACGGCCAAGTGCGAGTCGGACTCGCGCACCGAGGGTTCCGTACAAACTTGAAGTTTCAAAAATATTTTTTATCATATGATGTTACTAATAATTTACGGTTTTCGCAATTTTTCCTCTATCTGTACTATAAGATGTTACTTCGTACCAAATTTCAAGGTTCTAAGTTCACGGGAGTACTCTGTAGGTTTTGATTCCCGTGCGAGTTTCGAAAATTTGTGGAAATTTGCGGAATAAACGGCTGTATCTTTTGATTGCTTTGGCTTAGAAGTTTGAATTTTTTCACAGCTCCAAGGGACAGTAGACCTGAGTATTAGATATGAATTTCAGTTTGATACCTCCCCGCGACCCTGAGAAAAACGGTCGTAACGGACGGACGGACGGACAACAAAGTGATCCTATAAGGATTCCGGTTTCTCCTTTTGAGGTACGGAACCCTATAAAACAGAGATTATCCGAACACGGAGTACAGGTGTCCATAGCAGCCGCTCAAAGGATCCCCGCACTGCGCTCGCTTAGCACGAACCATTATCGAATTCGAATAGTTAAATTCGATCTATACTTAATTGCAGATAACATTAAATAGAAGTAAAAACCGGTTCTTTTATAGGTGCACATTTTCAACTCATTGTGGTAATAAATGTTTAATTACGCTTCTGTTAATTTGATTTGAAAAGCCCAAAGTTGCAGAGGTTTGCAACCTGCATTAAAACGTTTAGGTATAATGCGCCCAAACTAAAATTACGGGTTTTTGATGATGACACAGCTGGCGAAATTATGAATTTTTGATTTTACTGGATATTCATCTCGCTTGTCATAAAGTAAAGAAAGCACCTTGCTTGAAAATCTTGACATTCTCTTTGTTTTTTAGGTGATGCACATACATATGACACGTGATTATAAATTGTCTTTCGTTTTGATGTAGTTGTTTTGAATTATAAAATGAGTGATGCGAGTGCGGGACGTAGGTCGTAGTGACTCTCAAGCCATTCAATAGAACCCGCGGCGAAGTCGTGGTCCAAATTTTAATGACGCACTGTTGCCATTCTCATAAAAAGAAAAGACCAAAACAAAGTCCTCTACGCGCAATAGTCAAAAATATTATTCTAAATATTTACAAATATATGAAAAAAGATCGCCAAAGGGTTCAAAAACAAAATAAAACAGAAGCATTATACAAAAGTGAAATTACACTAAAAACAGCCGAAGCAGGTACATTTTACCAAATAAATTAATTGACCTCAATATGTATTACGTCTGTATTGTAATGTACTCTGGTGAAGAGATAGATAGATAGATATACTCTTTATTACTCACACATACAAATGAAAGGGAGAGAGTGATTAATATAATTATAATATGTATTTCTATATTAATATACCTATATATGTACAGTATATGTATTCTATCCGTTACCCTAGTATCCCATAACACAAGCCTTACAGTGCTTACTTTGGGGCTAGGCTGATTGGTGTGTGTTGGAAATATTTTTTATTATTATTATTAAATTTTTGTCTAATTTTGTACCTTGGTACAAATTATTTTAAAAAAAATATAAAGATACACTTATCAATATTTCAATAAAAAATTGAATAGTGGTGATGACGGGGTACAGTAAACGAAATTCTATTAAGTCCGTCAGTTAGATGATCAAAAAATAATGGACACGTATTTTTTCTTTGGGCAATCAACCAAAAAATGACAAAGTTATAGCGCGTCAAAGTTTGGAGTAGGGGCTCGTGACGTCACTTTTGAGTGAATTTTCCCGTGATTTTCCCTTATAAGTGTACTCAAACGTGACGTCATGCGACTTTTCAAATCAATATCAGAGATATATTGATTTGAAAAGTCGAAATGCTTATATTATGTGAAAAAAGAAAAAATACGTGTCCAATACTTTATGATAATCTACCCGATAAACGAAGAAAAAAAAATTAGTCATCATCCCTATTAAAATAGGGAATCAGCGTACAATCGTTATTACTCAGACGCAATTTATCATTGAATGACAGATGACAGTTTAGATTGGTTTAAAATCATTTCCTTGGTTATGATAGGTTGTATCAAAAATCACGTGATTGTCGTTGCTTATTATTGTTAAATAAAGATGCTCATTTACCGTATAATATTATCTGTGTTGCCAGTAATATAAAAGTTTAAACGACATTTTAATGTGGTAAAAGTGGATAATAAACTCCGTTTAAATTTTTGATAAACTCGTCGTATTTTTTTTACAAATAAATGCATGATAGTACTTGAGGTACAAAATTTGGCAGAGCTTTATGGAGAAAAGAATGGATTCTTTTCACAAAATACCGATATACCTAGTTGTTTGTATTCTATTATTTGGAGGAGCTCGATGGCGCAAGTCGACTGCGATCGTTGAAGTAAAGCAACTTCCGCAGTGGTGGATGGGTGACCAAAAATTTACTATCTCGAGCTCCTCCGTGCTTCGGAAGGCACGTTAAGCCGTTGGTCTCGGCTGTAGCTACAGTCGTTAGCACGGAGCCGCCAATCCGCACTGGGCCCGCGTGGTGGGTCATGGCCCAATCTCCCTATTCCATTCATAGGGAAGGCCTGTGCCCCATCAGTGGGGACATTAATAGGCTGATGATGATGATTGTATTATTTGCTGTAGGACCCGAGACATATGGTGTTACTACGCGGCTACAGTCTCAAAGAGCGACCGCCCAGCCCCGCGCCGCCGCCGATTCCCGACATGCAGGGAGAAGTATACCCGTCAGTGTTGCTATACTTATCGTTTTACTCAGAACAAGAACTAAAGCATAGTAGTTATGTTATGACATTTGTGCGGACACTCCCATAGACAAAAGGTTTCCAAAGAAAGTATTACCTAACCACATGTTGTATTAGTGGCATGTAGGTTAGAGAGAAGGAGAAGGATCGCTACGTACTAAAGCATTAACCCGCCTGACCTTGAAAATTTGTAGAATTTATAGTTCATTTTTCGGTAAGTAGTATCTGTGAAGTTATCTGTTTCCGAGTACAAGTAGATGAAGTTAGTTGAATATTGTACAAATTTTCTTCGCGGCATTGGTCATTTCAAATTAGCCCGTTTTTATTGAGAGAACTTAGCGATCGCAGCGCCTCACTTATTTTGTCCATATTTATGTAACATTATTTTCTACAGCGATCGTTCACCTTATCTCTAACCTCCATGGCCTAGTAGTTATGGTATGACGTTTGAGCGTACACTCCCATAGACAAAAGATTTCCAAAGACTGTATTACCAAACCAAAAAGTATTACATAGTGGTGTGTTGGCAGGATGAATTTGACATTAGATCACTTTTTGGTTGGGTATCGTAAAGGTAAGCAAGGTAGCCATGAATATCCACAAGGTATCTAATTCGATCTTTGTATAGTGAAAAGCACGCTGTTCGAGCGCTGTTGATAGCTAAATATATTTGTCCCTTTTTTTTCTAGTAAACTTTTCTTTAGATTTAAACATCTAGCAGTTAAATGCTTAAAAATAAATAAAAACATATTTGGCCTATATGTAAAAATAAGATAATACTATATGGGTTGAATTTAAAGTTTTTATATGTTTTAGATCTTGTTCTGAGGTTCTACTAACTAATCTACTTCTAGTATTAAACTTATTGGTAGGTTTTTGCAAGTCTTTACAGTATCATTTCTATTTCGAAACAAACATTAAAGTTTTAAAGTTTTTGTTTTGAAATAATGCTTTGTGTAATAATGCAAAATCTTGCGACCAAAACTTAATCATGGTTTCGTCGCAAGTTTTTGCATACCCTCTGGTATGGTGGTAAACGTAAAATCAACAAATTAGAAATGATATAGTAGCATTATTCTCTAACAAAGGCCGCCAAAATATGGTTCCAAACTCATACAACTAAACTTCAATACTAACACGGCACACACAGACGAAACAAAATACTTTGACAAATCAAATACCGGCAAATTAATTCGGCTATCCCATTCATTGGGTGAGGTAATGTTTAACGAATATCTAGCCGTTTTTTTCTCGCCGCCCTCTTGATCGCACTTTGTTTGGAACCACATTTTAGCGTAGTTCGTATTCCTTATCAGTTCTACTTCATTGCGTGTGATATAAAAGTGTGAGATAGGAAGAGGTCAATTTACTAGTTGTTTAAAACTTGTTTTATTTATAATTTCATTTCCCTTCTCTGTCAGTTACAACCAAATAAATAGTGTTGTTGTATAAACAGGCAAGGACGCGGCATGGCCGGCGTGCCCCCCGTGGGTGGGTCGCGCCCCCCCGCGCCCCTGTTCCCGCGGGGGGCGGCGCCGGGGCGCGCCGGTGCGTGGGCCCCCCGCCACCCCGCCTACCCCGCGCAGTCCGCGCTACTCACGCAGCTGGCGCAGCCCTCCTACCCGCCCCAGCAGGTGCCTGCGCAGGTCAGTGCTCTATACTAGTGTTCCCGCGCGGGGCGGCGCCGGGGCGTGGGAAGAAATCTATCTATTATTTTACTTTAGTCGTCATATTCACCCCGAAAAGCGCCTGCGCAGGTCAGTGGTCTATACTACTGCGATTCTGTTTCAGCCTATTTTAAAACAAAACGACATTTTAACTTCAATCACAGGACCGCCTCAGGGATTTGCAGAGATTTGTATAAGTAACAGAATTGTGTAAAAAATGTGTTTTTTCTTTTCGTCTCCTTTTTCTCTTTTAAAAGACCATAAAACTATAATAAATTTGGACTTATTAAGTTACAAGTATTTTGTTTCTTAAGTGAAACAATAAATACGTGGTAATACTTAATTTTTGTATTTCTCCATCTTTTCACTGTTTTTGACCCTCTTTTCACTGTTTATGACGATATATTTGTTATTCGCAGGCTAGCCACCAACGCATGCCTGGCATGATGGCAAATCAGGGCCCGGGTTCATCGACCCCGCCGGCCGCGCCGCAGCGCAGTTTCATATGGAGCGGCGTCATCGAGTGGATGGAGAAGGGAAAGGCTCCAGGAGACCAGCAGAAGACAACTAGGCACCTGTCCTGTCAGGTAAGGAAGGAGACCAGCAGGAGACAACCAGGCACCTGTCCTGTCAGGTGAGGAGGCACAGGCTTTCATATGGAGCGGCGTTATCGAGTGGATGGAAAAGAGAATTCGATGTTATCAGATTTAGACATCCTACAATTTAACATTTTTAAAATCATAAGACGTTTTAGGATCAAGATATTCTAGAAAATAGAGTGAAATACAGAAAAGAAATTCCGCATCGTACACCGTTAGAAATTTTAGGAGCAAACCGCCCTTCGTTAATTAAATTTCTTATTTCGATACCTTTGATTGGAAATTTGACATAGTTCAACGATGATTCCTTTGAAGAATAACTCTAGTTATTATTTTTCGAATGTGTAAAATTGTAAGGACTTGATAGATAAGGTAAACATTAAAACACATAAGGGGCTGGTAGTGCTGAACTTTTTACTTCTTTTAACTTGAAGGGTTTTACATCAAATTGATTATAGCACAAGTCGCGGCGCAGTGGAAACCTGCGCATAGCGCTTGCGCTACCTTCAAAACCACCATAATATATATTTGTTAATAATAACTAAATTGAATTAATTAGACATGTCAACAATAATATAAAAAATATCAATAAGTTTGTGTAATTGATGCATGTTGCGTAGACTCTTTTGATGAGTGCAGTTTAAATCAATCTATACCTACTTCATTTTCTGGTCCAGGTATCAGCAGGATCTAAAGAAGTGGAGCCCGAGCTGAAGGTGGATACGTGGCCCAACAAGTTGCTGATGCAGCTGATGCCCAAACAGCTGATCAGCAATATCGGCGGCCAGTACCTCAAGGACAGCAAGTCGGTGCTGTTCCACCTGCAGCCCAGCGAAGCCCTGGACGCGCTTACTAAAGTCATGGTCAACGGATTCGTGAGTATAAAAATACATGGTGTAAACAATGGGTTAGGTGCTTAAATGAGATGTAGTGCAGATGTATTTACATTGTGTTAAAACAAAAAAGGTTATGGTCGAAATTCCATTTTCTTTTAAAAATTATGAACATTAACGGTCTTACTGAAATAAAATAAAAATATCCTGTTTACCATAGCAAATTTTGTATGTTTTTTTCTGAATCTCGTGTTTAACGCATGTTTAACTTTCTTTTTGGTAATACCGTCACCACCTCCGTGTTTCGGAAGGCACGTTAAGCCGTTGGTCCAGCTGCATCTGCACTCGTTAACACCCACCAATCCGGACTGAGTCCGTGTGTGGTTTATGGACGAAGTTATGACTAAATTATTAAATGAATTTTCGGCTGGCCGCGTGTGACTGTGACGTCACAGACCTCTAGCGCTCGGGCGCGAGCGTGGGTAGAGACGCTGCAAAAGTTTGACAGGAGTGAACCACGATCGAGCTCTGTGACGTCACTCGTTTCGGCCGCCGGTAAATATTGGCTACCATAAAATTAGTTGTAAAATTGCAACGAATGAACCGATTTTGATGATTTAATAAGTATATTAATTAAGCTTATTAGATTATTATACTGTTGATTTTGAGTTGATTTGCTGACCTAGTAACGATCCTCATTTCCTATTCCATCCATAGGGGAGGTCTGTGCCCCAACAGTAGGGCATTAATAGGCTGATGATGATACCCCCACAGAACTTTGATCCCACGTGTATGGGTTTTAGTAGGCCCAAACAAGAGAGTTGATTTTAGTTAGTTGTAGTTATAGCACACTAATAAGTTGGTGATTAAAACATTGGTTTATATGCATCAATAGATGAAGTGAACTTTCGTAATCATTTCTTTTTTCATCAATCAGGCGGGCTGCGTACATTTCTCGCTGATGTCGTCGCCACCGCAGTGTGACATTAAAGTGCTAATATTGCTGTACACGCCCGACAAGAAGGCTTACCTCGGATTCATACCAAACAACCAGGCCACGTTCGTAGACAGGCTCAGAAAGGTAAAATATATACTCATTTACAACCTTATACGTTTATTTAAAGAGTTTATAATAACGTAGTACTTATGGTTGATCTAGTTTTTAGGAAATCCGTTGTGCCACTGGTGTCGATTCTGGCATGATTATCTAAACTTATTCTCTCTTATCTCCTTTTCATTCTGTACAGAGAACGACAAGTATATAAATAAATATTTCCAACACTCACACCAATTAGCCCCCTAGCCCCAAAGTAAGCACTGTAAAGCTTGTGTTATGGGATACTAGGGTAACGGATAGAATACATATACAGTACATATATAAGTATATTTATATAAAAATATATAGAAAACATCCATGACTGGAGTACAAATGCTCGTACTCATCACACGAACATCTGCCCCCACCGGGATTCGATTCGAGTAGGCGACACCTCGAAACCCAGCGTACAAACCACTCGGCCACGGAGGTCGATTATAATGTAGTAGTTGTGGTCGAGTTTTTGGGGAATCCGGTTGTGCCACTGGTGTCGATTCTGGCAGGATTCTCTAAACTTATAACTAAATTTAAAATCAGTATCTCCTTTTAATACTGTACAGAGAATGACAAGTATACACTTGATGATGTATTTTCGCTTGGCGCCGACGGCGGGTTAGAAACCGTCGTATGGCAACCGCAGCGTTTTTGAATTGGATGATATTGGTGCGATCGAATTTGACCCTTCCTACGGTCGCTGATTGTTGATTTCTTGGTTTGACTGAGTTAGATGGCTTTCTTAAATGAAACACTTATTTTCGTTAAGTTTAATAATAATAATATACTTTTATTTCAGATACAAGATCCATTCCTACAATTTACAAATTAATTCAGCAATTCCAATTTATAATTATAATACACAGAAGTCAAATTACCACATTCACAAATACAAAAACAAATTACATTAGATCGTATCATGATTCAGGATGCTAATTGCACTTATCGTTTATACATATTCGTATTGAAAATTCTCTCCGCCAGACCTGATATAATAGAGTTTCTATACTCCTCAACCCTGGACATAAATTTGGCGATGCGGTTTCTTTGAATGGCATTAAATGAGTTTATTCTAGCCTCAAAGTACATTTTTGAAGCTCTACAACAACGCTCCAATCCCATAAGTTGCCTAAATATATTATTGTAGGCCACCTGTATTCCATCATACGCCTTTTTTGTATAGTTGGTCCACAGTTGACAAGTGTAGAAAGTCTGACAGAAGGATCTAAAAAGTGTTTCTTTGACGTCACGGGAAGCTTTATTAAACCTGCGTATTATCATATTGCCAACCACACACAATGCTCTTCTTTGTCGTTCTATATCCTCATCATCTTTGAGGTTCGATGTTACGATATGAAGATACTTGAACTTAAACTGATATAATGAATTTTGCTAACACTAGCACACTATTCCATTCGCCATCTTTTCTTGAAGTCTTCTTATAATTACAACAACCAATCAGTGGTCTCTTTTGAAACTACAAATTAGTGAAATGTGGCCACTTATTGACAATAATGATGGGTGGTGGAAGATTTGAAATTGAAATTATTTACATTAATTAAAACATGTAGATTTTGCGCCATCAACACTGTAAATTTAATTTAAGATTAAGAGAATCATGCCAAAATCGACACCAATATCATATTTATTTACGATCGCTATATACAACATAAAAATAGTTTACACATATACAGGTTTGTCTAAACATTCAGCTCCAACTTCATATATTTAGAGCATATATCGGCTTCACAATAAAAGCTTGTTTTGAACTGTGAAACTGTTTTTATATCTAAAGAAAGTATTACTAGAAAAAAAATCCGCGCGGAACAGGCAGCGGACGGAACTCGAACCCGCACCCTTCGCTATCCGAGCGAATGCACTGACCATTATGCTACCGCGGCCCTGATGGCCGTGTTGATTTCTTTCTAGCCCTTCTTACGCTGCATGGCAGCGCCATCTCTTCGCATTGTAGGTAACCCACAATGTCAAATGAATACTATTACGAGTATTAAACGTTTGAAAGAAGAAATAGCAATCACAACATCGAGCATTTACATGCTTTAAAAATAAAAATTATAAACTATTTTTAATATTAACTTTTATTTTCATGCATATTTTGGCACTTTGTTAGTGCAATATCATAATAATAATAATTCTTTATTTCTTACCATACTCAGTTTTTTAATCCATTAAAAATACTATGTAAAAAGGTCACTTATCTAATTATGGCGGGCTGATACCTAACTAGGAAAAAACCCGTGTATCTGGTTATCAGCCCTCCACCTGTTTGAACGTAATACAATACAACACAGTTTAAATCCGTTTATCCGATGTGTAATGATATAAATGCCCTGGTGGTAGGTGATACAACAGCAGAAGATTACGCAGATAATCAACAAGCAACTGCCGGCCGCGGGCGGCGCCTCCCCTGGCATGTCGCCTGCCTTGCCCAGCTCCACTATGGCCGGTGAGTATTAAAATATAAATCAATACTTATTCTATACTTGCAAGAAAATTTATATATACTTTTTAATATGGGGTCGTTCAAGTTTTACGTAATAAATCTGCTATTATAATTATTTTCCTCCCCCTTGTCAGCAAAAGTAAGCAAAGGAAAGACGCCCCTGCCCCCCTATAGTACTTACGCCATACTTGCACGGCCCCTATATCAGTGGGAAAAAGTGTATGGAAATCCATTCTGCCACACTAACGAAGAGTACAACAACTCGAAATTACCGCTTCCGAGAAAAATGCGCTCAGATTTATGTCTAGTTCAAAACTGATGGCAATGGTTGTCATACAAGTATGATTATTGTATTTTTGATCAGTAAAATCTATGAAGACGTTGTTGATGCATTCGTGCTTACTGAAAAATCTGATTCATAAAGGATTCATTAAAAGTTAATTAGAAAGAGTTAACATTTACGAAAATCGAGTTATTGTACTTTTCCTTAGCGCGGCAACATTGTTAACGCACTGAGCGTGTAGAAAAAGTCTATGCAAAATCATTGTTAACTTGCTATTATGATTTTAATTATTGAGCCCGATTATGACACTATTCTCCAATCTTAAAACTATAGAAAGCCGTTTATCCCTTTCCCAATAGATATCCTGTCCGAGAAAAAAAATAAGTTATAATCCTAAAATCTGACTGCAGCGCCACCTGTTTCTTTTTAAAACAACACTGATGTCGACTCTGGCATGATTCTCTAAAGCTAAAGTTGAATCTGACAACAGTGCATCCCTGTCATTCTCTATACAGAATGAAAAGGAGAGACTGATGTTATATTTAGTTTTAAGTTTAGAGAATCACGCCAGAATCGACACTATTATCTCTGCAACCTTTTAATTTTTCTACTTGAACATTTTATGAAATAGGTATTAGAAAAATTAAGAACAAAAATGGATGATATCGGTGAAATTGTTCGCAAGTTTTAGCGTGACCGAAGGACATAGAGATTAATTTTTATTTATTTCATTGTAAAGTACGACAAGGACGTACTGCGATCAAATGCAGTTTTTGGCTTAGAGAATCTCTCCTATAATATAACTAGAATTGATTTTTTGTTTGATTGTTATTTTAGCAACCGGAGCACTTCCAACCTCAGGAATGTCGCAAGCTAGCATGGGCGCGGGCACTAGCATGGCCGGCACTAGCATGCAGGGCGCTAGCATGCCAGGATCTAGCATGCAGGGCGCTAGTATGCAAGGTGCTAACATGCAAGCTGCCAATATGCCCGGCGCTAGCGGCCTCGCCAGTGGAATGCCACAAGTGGGACAGATGCAGGCAGCTGGGGGGCAATTGTCGCATCCACAGGTATGTTAAACTATTGTGCTTTATGATTTAGTTGGATGGGTGACTAAACATTTTATTATGTATTTCTAACTTTTAGGACAGTTCGCTGCATTCTAAGGTATATTTGACAAGTTCTTTATGATTTACTTGGATGGGTGACCAAAACTTAAGTACCTTAACTTCTTCCGTGCTTTCGAAGGCACATTAAGCCGTTTATCCACCCGGATATATTGGCATCTAGCATGCAAGGTGCTAATATGCAAGCAGCCAATATGTCCGATGCTAGCGGCCCCGCTAGTGGGATGCCTCAAGTGGGACAGATGCAGGCGGCTGGGGGACAATTGCCGCATCCACAGGTATGTTTAACTAGTGTGCTTTATGATTTAGGTGGATTGGTATCCAAAAATGGTGGCATCTCCCCACGGGGTGAGTCTCCTATCCGTCTGGAGCCTCTAGACCACTCGAACCTGAGGGCGTCTCTGAGACTGGGACCGAGGTCCCAGGCTTTAGTTAGCCGTTGTCGTGGGGGACGGGGGACATATGAACAGTGTTACTTTCGCAGTTATAATAATATTTGCAAAAAATAATACTTTTAAGGGTAAGTAACTAAGTAAACAATTAGCCTAGCCCCAAAGTAAGCACTATAAGGCTTGTGATATGGGATACTAGAGTAAGGGATAGAATACATATACTGTACATATATAAGTAAATATACTTATAGAAATCCACATTAAACATCCATGACTGAAGTGCAAATGCTCGTATTCATCACACGAACATCATCAATTCGAATCCCGGTATTCGAACCCGGGACCTCTCGAGTCGGCGACACCATGAAACCTGGCGTGCAAACCACTTGGCCACGGAGGTCGTCAGAGGAGGTTCTATACTCCAGCAGGCACGTTAAGCCATTGTTACTAGTTGTTTTTTCAGTCATTAGCACCCACTAATCCAACAATACTTGCCATGGTCTATTCAACCTTTATTTACAGGGAAGCATCAGGGGCATTAATATATGGCCTATTTTGTCTTCTTTCATATTCAGTCTGTGCCCCAGCATTAACGACATTATTGGACTAATAATAATGAAATGAAACTTTTATTGGCCATGTTAACAAAAGAAAAACTTATAAATACAACAATAAAAAAAAATATAAGAAAACTTAACCTAACGAACAAAAAAGAACATAATAATCTAAGATGGCCAATCAGGACCCTGCCTCAGTTTATGCTGACACAGAGAAAGTACTCTTTCACTTTATCAGCGCTAATAATAATGATAGTAAGTGGAGTCATTACAACCCTGATGATGACGATAATTGACATACTGTGACCGTCCCCAGGGCATGATGATCAACCCCGGTATGGGCGGGCAAGTTCCGCAAGTGGGTGGTAAGGGACCCCGGCCTGTGACCCAACTAGATGGCTTGGAAGCAGCCAGGCAGCAGAACTTGGAGAAGATCCAGCACCTCCAGCAGACTCTAGAAGCTGCCCACCAACAGCAGTTCAAGTCGCAGATGGACATCATGAACCATCTGCACGCGGCTCAGCAGCAAGAACAACATTATAAACAATTGGAGGTATGTAATTAAAGAAACTGTAGGTGATTCTATCTTTTTTAATTGAGGAAATGTCTTTGACCTGCCGAAAGATGAATGAAAAAGGCAGCAGAATTTAGTGAAGATCCAGCATCTGCAGCAGACTCTAGAAGCTGCTCTTTCAATCTCTCAATTGGAGGTATGTATTTAAAGAAATTAAATATAGTCTGTCTTTCTTGAACATAGATAAAACTGACATGACTCTAGAAGCTGCTCACAACTAGAGGTATGTTATTCTGTTCTTTTAAAGGTGTCAAAATTTCTCTGACATTACTGAAGATAGATCAGACAGGAAACAGAGAAAATTACATTGACTTACTTAAAGATAAATGAAAGAGACAGCAGCTTTTTGTTTTAATCTGAGCTGTTTTCTTTTAATAATTATAATAATATAATCTATAATATAAAAATGAATCGCTGAATGTGTTGCTAAGCGCAAATCTCGAGACCAGCTGAACCGTGTCCATAATTCTTTTTTTAGAATATTCCTTGAAGTAGGAGGATAGTTCTTACGCAGAGAAAAATAAAAAGAATGCCTGAAAATGTCCTAAAACAACACTTTTCTATACTCCCATACAAACGATTCGTAATAATACTTCAAAGTCAATTTGAACTTTAATACCATACCATAAATTTCAAATGTTAGTGGAGAGGTTCCGGGAAGGCAAAACAATTGAGTGACATGATGTCAATAGAAGTTTGAAAAAGGCAAAAATACCATTTTTTAGTTTTTTTTTATAATTATATGAAGAGGCATTTTAATCTACACTACAGCTCTACACCGAAGCGAAGCGAGGGCGGTCCACTAGTATTATATAATTATTCATTAGCCAATGTCAAGGTTATTTACTTATTTATTTTTGGTTAACCATCAAATATATTCTATTCGATAGGTAACTAAAGCAGTGATGATTATTCTGTTCACCTTTCATTACCTTATTAGGTATTTTATTTCAAGAAGAATCAATCATAAATTGGTATAATAAGTTCACCACGATTTCACGAATAGCATGCATGACAGGACTGATTGACATTTAACATAGCAATTGAATTGAGATAACATTATAAGTTGCCTCATATTAAAAATCTGACGTGACTGGGTTGCCAGAATCCTTACGAATTTTTTCAATTAAAATTGTTTTTAATGGGGGATAAATAAAAAAATATATTATCTAGTCATGTTAGTTGTAGTTTTACGTAATACGTAAAATAAGTACTTTTAAATGATATAAGTGTCATCGCTAACGGACACCGACTAGCACTATGGAACCGTCCTTTAAATGTCAGAGTGAAAATTTGCACTCGGTGTCTAGATGTGGAACGCGGCCTTGACACCACGTTTGTATTGTTGTAATTTTTAACGTCACAACTGCTCTCGTCACGTTTCAAATAATTGAAGTTTCCACAAGTTTTTCGCATTTTTATATCATTAATTTCTTGCTCAAAAAGTATTAACAAATCAACTTGAGAGTAATAGAGTTTATTGAGAGAATAAATAAGTCTTATTGGAATTACACGCATATTCCCTTTTAATAAAAGGTGAGCTCATGAATCTGCTCGTATTGAACCATTTTTTAACTCCTGTTCAATAGTGCTTGGATGTTGTTCCATTCCTAGCTGTAAGTGAACAATACAGCAGCTGCGCAGCGGAGTGTATGGGCTCCATAGACTTTTGGCCTTTTATTTTACTCAGTATCAAAGTGTGAGAGGGACAAAGTGATGTAGTTGACAGTATCCTTAGCACGAACCATTATCGAATTCTAATAGTTGAATTCGATCTAGATATACGTCCAAGGTATACTAACTTTTGAAGTGAAACTTCTTTACGCAAGCTTGACTTGGGGAGTAAGCTGGCGAATGCGTTACGCGTAACGAAAAGTGTGTTCGGGTGAGGGGAACGGGAGTTGAGAAGAGAGAAAGCAGTGCGCGCGCAGTTTCTTTCTCTCTTTTTCTTATAGCTAGTAAATTAAATATGTATATATACATACATGTATATATTGTACACACACACACACATATGTATATATACATACAGATGGAGCTAAGGAAGTTTCACTTCAGTCGTGTGGTCATAAGCATACTCGTCTTTTTTTAGTTCTCGTTACGTCCGTCGTGGCGCTGCTGTTCAAGTTTCCATACAAAATTTGACATTTCGCACTCGCAAAGTATTCGAATTCGTATTGGTTCGCGCTAGGGGTACAGTAGTTTGCATTAGAATTTTGCTGAAAGCTATTCCATTGTTTGTATATGTACGGTTTTGTGGCCAGGAGCAGCGCAAACACCAGATCCAGCAGCAGCTGCAGCAGCAGCTCCGCGGCGCAGGTGGCGCAGGTGTGGGCGTTGGGGTAGGTGGGGGAGTGACCCACGCGGGCCACGCCGGACACGCGGCACACGCGGGCCACGCGCGACTCATGCGGCCCCTTCTGCCCTCCAACCCCGGCCTGAGGCATCTGCTGCAGCAGGTATATATCTCATATCATTTGTTACGGAGTGGAGTACATAGACGCGGAAAGCAGAATATGGCTGACGTGGTTCCTGACGCTCGTCCTCGTGACGTTTCTGTTGCCCGCCGTCATTATGATGACGCTCTCCGTATCTCCACCACCGAGAGGTACAGGGTTCGAATCCCGGTGGAGGCAGATGTTCGTTTGATGAATGGGAGCATTTGTACTCCAGTCATGGATGTTCAATATGTATTTCTATATAAATATACTTGTATATATATTAGATATGTATGTATATGTATTCTAACCGTTACCTTGGCATCACTTAACACAAGCCTACTGTGCTTACCTTGGGGCTGACCAGGCAGCAGACTGGACTCGAACTCGTACCCTTCTCTGTCCGGGCGAAAGCACACTGTGGGTTACCTATAATGCGAAGAGATAGCGCTGCCTTGCAGCCTAAAAAGTACTAGAGAAAATTTGACACCGCCATCAGGGCCGCGGTAGCATAATAGTCAATTCATTCGCCCGGATAGCGAAGGATGTGGGTTTGACTCCCGTCTGCTGCCTGGCGTCGAAGATTTTCTAGTAAACTTTCTTTAGATTTAAACACCTAGCAGTGAAATTAAATTATTAATAAATAATCTACTATATGATTAAAAAACATTCAATAGTATTTCATACACATACACTACACATTGTGACCCAAAGCGATGTGTTTTAGCCATTGAAGTATAAATTCAAGTAGACTCACAATCGAGCTCAAAAAGTGTCGGAGGCAAATTTACGCTCACACTTCTATTGTGCGTAATTTTCAAACAGTTGACATTGAATTTTATTGCCACGATGTGACGTGTCATTTTATATAAATGTGTTGATGTCAGTCTGTACAAGTTGATGTTGAAATGGTTTAAGTATAGAACACATAGAGGTATAGGAAAACAGTAGATATAGACTCTATTACAAGTGGAAGTGTCCCACTAATAGAAAGAGAAAGAAGATGAGAGACCGCTAGCTTTCTCTCTCTAATCGCGCATGCGCATTGGCAACCGTAAGCATCTTATAATTTCGATGTGATGCTTGACCCAACTATTAACAGACAACTGCGCATGCGTCACAAGAGAGAGAGATAGCTAGCGGTCTCTCATCTTCTTTCTCTTTCTACTAGACGGTCACTTTAACGGTCGCCTTCCCCACTCTATTCTTATACCTCTATGATAGAACAGTGTCGCTTTGAAGTTTTTTGATGCGCTTTTGATAGGCGATTGGGAGTCTATTTGTTTTTATATGTCAATGCATTCAATAGCATTTCTAGCACATCCACTATACATCGTGACACAAAGCGATATGTTTTAGCACTATTTCTTCTTTATTTAGTTTAAAAAACCCACGCGCTTAGCTTGCACATTTCACTAATGTATATCTTTATTTCTTAACTGTCATTCTTTCCGTTTCTATTCTTTAGAAATTCCCGTACTTGTAGCCGAAGACATCTGACCACATTAGACTTACAATGAAATGTTTCATTGAAATATTCAGATATCCAGATTCTTTGTTCAGATATCCAATATAAAGGACCAGATTTTTTCAATTACAAGTACTTTAAATTACTTAGCGTAAGAACTACATGTAACTTAATAAAATAGCACGCTTATTGGAAAGCTAACCTATTTATACTTGGTCTTCGTTAAACAAAGACTACCATGGCTTGTTTGAATTATAAAGGGTTCCGTACCCAACGGGTTTAAAAGGATCTCGGAATGTCTCTGGTCTCTACATCGTAAAGGGAATGAGTTACAAAACTGAAATTTTGTTATTATTTCTATACTTTATCTCTGATTTTAAAGTAAAGACTATTGGACTCTTTCGGCAATAAAATAATAGATGGCGTTAGTTTTATATGTATGTCTTATGAACTAATAGCTCAGTATTCCATTAGGCGTGCAAATTTCTTATTTCCAATCTGCACTTTAATAGTCGCATCAGTGTAAATTTTTATTTCCACAGCTTATTTAACCCTTAAGCACCTAGCTTGAGCAATGTAACAGCTGTAGCTGTAGAGAATACAGCGTAATTTCAACCTTATTCATACGACATAAGTGCTATGACTGACTCCTTCTGTTATAAAATATGAGGCATGACATTTCTCCGCTCAAATTAGAACGCCGGTCTGGGGAATTAACCTCCACCTTACAGGTGGCCGTGAAATAACACAACTTTTTGTTTGTGTCGTTTTTCTGTTAGTAAAAATGGTGTCAGGCTGTTTAGGGTAGGCAAACCGCGAGTTGTACGCTCTGGTTTGGAGGTTTTTTTTTTTTAATTTATTCTGGCTTTGGATATTTTGCAAGTTGTCTATAATAGGCTATAGTGGCCGTTTACCATTGGGCAGTCCATATATTTGTCTGGCACCTATTTAACAAAAAAAGGGTGTGTGTTAGCCGGAAAAAACTATCAATAGATTGTTCCTATCTGTTCGATAAAGATTGTATTTAGGGCATTCTACGTTAATCCTTCAGTCCCAGTCATTCTTATCTATTGGCCGGACATTGCTGAAGACACAATATTAATTTGAGTCCTATGTCAATGGATATAAGACACATTTTTCGAAATATTAAACAGCTGTCTTGTTTCGCACAGAGATATACATTGTTTTTTACTTCAACAGAATTCTGGCAGTTCCGCATGAAGGAGCTGCCAAAATTCGGTTGAATCACAATTTAGTTTACTGTGCCGAATTTCACTTGCGCGATGTAAGCTTCCATACTATTTGGTGCAGCGCCGGTAGCGCCATCTCTTGAAGCGGCGAGTGATCATTTTCTCTATGCTGGTTATTTATGGGGCATGTAGATATCGCCGCCACATTACTATCTATGTAATTTGAAGCTTAAATGGAGTAGTCAGAAATCCATCGAATTTAAATTCAGAGTTAAGATTACTATGTATAAAATTTGAGTCCTATGTCGTTGCAAATAATGTTGATATTACACTGTGTCCGCTGAACTTCAATCCGGCCTATGTTGTATTGTAGCAACAGGCGCAACGTGGGCCGCGCCCTCCCCACATGTGATTGGCTGTTACCCCGCTACTTGCACAAGTAATACATTACACTATGTCTTCTCTATACTAAAATTATCCCCTTTTGGTACATGTTTTAAACCCGTTTTCTGGGCCATCTACGAAAGAAAAATCTGTTCACTTTTTCTTAACTGATTATGAAATAATTAATCATTTGATTAAGAATTCACTTTATCCTAATTTGTTACGAAATTATGTTAAATCAACTTCATTTAATTTCAAAAGCATTTATTGAATAATTTTAAACAACAATAAATACATTGTATATACTTATAATACTTATGTTGAACCATGCACTTGGACTTATCCCTTTATCACACCCAGCTCACATCACTTTATCAGACTACTTAATTGCTTACAAAAGTATTCAGAAAAACCTATACCAAGGAAATGGGGTTTTTTTTTATTAACCAGTTTAGAAAAGGTTACTGAAATTTTCATGTTCATATTTGTAGTATTTAATTGTAAGATTTGATTAAGAAAATCATAATGCATTTAAGCAGTTATGAAAACGGATAAATATTGTTATTTCACAACCAGTTAGGAAAAAAATATATAAAATTTCTTCTTCCGTAGATAGTTAAGAAAAACCGTTCAGAACATGAACTAAAGGAAAATCCCTAGGCTAAGAACACACGAGTTTTGCTTACAGCCTCGCTTATTGCCAAGTGCTAAGCTATAAGCTTATTTATTATATAATAACACTATTCTATACTATAGCACTATAGCAAATGGAAACACTGCAGGGGCTGTATTTTAAATTGACAATCAATGTATAGTGAATTTTGTCGCCTCATGTCCTACCCAATAGCATTAAACTATCTTAGTTAGAGAAGGACGAAACATATACACAATACTAACAATCACGATTATATCGAAAGTAAACTTACAGACGAGCTGTCTCGATTAAGTAGATACTGTGCAAGTCTTGTAACAAATATCTAAGTTTCGCTTTTATGGTATGTTCTTAGCCTAAGGATCAGAGTGTTATAAACTAAGGATGGGTACACACGGCATTGTATTGCACGTTTTTTTCAGCTGTACACAATTTTTTCCGGTAACCAGTGCGGAATTATTCATTATAAGCAAGCGTAAAAAGATTGAAAAACTATAAAAATAAGAACGCACTTGCTAGTTAAGAAAGTCTTATTTCTCTGTCGAACACGAAAGTATTTCAAGAAAAAAAATTCAACACGGAAAAATGCCATCATGTCACACAAACACTTGGTTTTACAAAAACAAGACTACCCAATTGGTCTTACAATGATGTTCCTTTGCAGTGATGTCACTGATAACTGTTTTGTACTCGAATGATATACATTACCCCTAGCACGGACCTATATCTAAATCGAATGGTTAGCGAGTCCGAAATATCATTGTTAAATTTTGTATGGAAACTTGAACAGCAGCGCCACAAAAGACGTAACGAGAACTCAAAATTAGTACACATTTGACAATGACATTTCGGACTCAAAAACTATTCAAATTCGATAGTGGTTCGTGTTAAGGATACAGATGTCCCAAAACTTTTCGACCTGAAGAGGAAGTACCTTAAATACTGTTGATAGAAAGTTTTGCTGAAGGCAGACTTTTTAATTTTAAAAACAATACGAATTGTATAAAATAAAATAAAACAGGTTAAATTTCGTGAAAAAAATATGTTTATAAAACGATTAGAGTATTGCAGTGTGTACTCAGCCTTAACATTTCATTAACACGATACCACTCCAGCACAAGCACTGATAATTGAAATTATGCCTTAAATACTGCACCGTAGTCGCACTTTTCATTAAAGCTTTCCTAATTAGCGTCGTTATCTATCTGTCAGAATAAAATGCATTTTATGTGTATTACTTTAAGTATATATTTAAATGCATTGCACAGAGCGGAGTCATGTTAGTGGATAATGTATTTACTTGAGCGTTTCTACAGGGTGTAACGGAAAATGTATTTAATAGCAATATGCAAAAAAACAAAATTAAGTTAAGTTATTCACTCAAATACACGATGTTTTAATCAATATAGGAAATGATCTAATAAATTACGTATTTTGTCTGATTTGCAATTATACACATCATGATTTATTATAAATTACTAAAGCATTTTGATATACAATGCTAGTAAAGAATTTATTTTTATTTATTTGTGTAAAATTTCTATTGCAACCTGTAGATACGTCCGCATGAAAATTTGGTACAAATACAGTTTGTTTCGAGAATTCGGACAAGGATAGTCCCATTTATGAGCTCTTGTGCGAACTCCAATCTAACACTGAGTTTTTCTTATTTCTTTTCACACCTTTATACAGTAGAGACTATAACGCTCAAAAAAACTGGTAGTATAAGTGGTACCAGTTAAGAGTAGTACGAGTAGAGTATCTATCTTATGGTTAATTATATAGACGATGTCAATATTAAATCGTACTCATAAATGAGGCCAGGACTATACTTGCTGATGGAAATTATAATTCTCTTAACACTGCACCTTTATTCACAAACGATCGAAAACGCATTCTATCTATCTTGGTTCTTCATTAACTCCTTAACGAGTAACAGGTGAGGATGGCTGGTGTGACAGGTAGAACTGCTGTACCAACTATCTTCACATCCGGACTTTACCGTCACTTAACATCAGGTGGGGTGGAGTCATTTGTCGGAGCTATCTATAAAAAAACGATAAATTATTTAATGTCTGTTTCGTGAAAGTCTTCCATCGTTTGTGATTAAGAGGTCTCTCTAACTTTAGCATGTTTCATTTCATTCTCTGTTTACTGTTTTGTTACTAATCCTATTTTATTTTACTGCATTTCTTAACGCGTCACTCTTCCAGATAAGACTTAGACCCTTGGTTCCGAACCTGGGGGTAATAACCCCTCCGGAGGTAAATCAGACATACTTCGGGGGT